CCCCCCCCCCCCCCCCGCAAGATACGCGAGAGCTTATATTCACGTCAACAGGAAGACACGGTAAAAGACGATAGAGTCACCCCACGTACGTTACAGTTACATCCTAAACATAAATCAACCCTCGAACGTACATATCGTCGGATCCGAACCCCTTGCCCTCTCCCTCCTGACCCATCTGAGTCTCGCCCACATCCGTAATAAAGGACTGAATGATAACACGAGGCTGAGCATCCGCCGGATACTTCGCAGCCTCCAACACAAACCCCGAAAAAGGCTTTCCCTCTATTCTTCACTCGTTTCGACAAGGCTGGGGCCATTAACGTGTTTCAATAGTTACTTCTGGCTCTATTGTTGGGGACCTGGGTAATGGATGTATCTACACGGAGAGAAAGCTGAATAAAAACAACTAGTCACGATAATCTAGCCACGATTATCTAGTACAGATAATCGTGGCTAATTTTATTGTACGAACGGCAATCATGTAGAATATCTAATTATTATTCGTTCGAAAATATATCATTACTAAATTGTGAAATTTCAAAATTCAACTGTTTGACGCAGTGCAAGCAAAAGATTTTTTTTGCCAACTTTTTTTTATTCTTGGGAGTACTGATGAGAATAATAATTTTCCATTCAGTAAAATGGAAAATCATAGAGAAGTTTTCATGGGCGATTTTGTCAATAGATTATTCGATTGAAATTCAGCATCATATTTTCCTTTTTCCCTCTCTGAATCTCCCCCTGGGCCTTGCTCTGGACTTTGAATTTTGCTGTTTAATTTTTTTTTTCAATTAATTGATTGACAAAATCTTCTACTGATTGGAAAATTATAATTCTCATCAGGCCTCCCAAGACTAAAAAAAATATTGACTCACAAAATTTTTTTTGCTTGAATTGCGTCCAACAGTTGTTTTTTTTACTGTTTCATTTTGCCCCCCTCGTCCCTATCTATCGAAAATCAATGTTTTTTTTCCTTTGGGGGGTGGGACACAGAGGGAATGAGTTATCTGAGTTTATTTCCTATTTTTTGGAGGCTATCGTGGGATGAAGGAGAGGTGAAGGAGTCAAAAGGCACCCAACAAAATTTATGGTCTAAAACATGACATGAAGGTTCATCTACCACACCTAGATACAGAAAATGTAGATAAAAAAAATAAATCACTATTAATGGAGATTTAAAGAGTAAAGAAAAATTATAAAATCAGCTCTACACTATTTCATTCGATGTCCCCGAGCGATAACGCTTTATAATGGCCCGAGAAAGGAGATAAGGGCCTGGTACATGTGCATGTGGAGAGTTTGGCACGGTTCAGGAGGGGTAAGGATAGCGAGAGTTGAAGAGGCCCGCGGGAGGGGGTGAGCTAAGGGGATGGGGATCCGGTGGTGAAACCGATTTTATTCCACCCCACGGCCGGAACTCGATTTGCGGTCGAGTGCCCGTATGGCCTGATGCAGAATTGGCTGGTCAAACCCGATCTGCAGTGTCCATCTCTACGTGTGTTCAGCCCCCCCCGCCGGCACCCGCTCCATCAGCGTAACTTCCCACCAAATTCGATGGGGATGTCTCGCTCCGACGAGTGACACACTCGTGTCGCCCATCAATCCGTCCGCTGGGGACTGCGGAGATGCGGAGGATCTTTAAATTTTCTTGATGGCCGCATTTGTTTTCATTCTATGGCACCGCAATCCTCAAGGGCTGGTAATTCGTAAATGAGTGGCGTTGATTCAATTCCGTAAATTCAAACGTATCCTCTCTTCACGGAGAGAAATAACGTCATAAGCTCACAAAAATAATTTCTCGCGCCAAATATCTCCAAATATATTTTGAGGATTAATTTCTCGGGATAAGAATTCCGGATAATGTGCCAGACAATGTCAGATTTTGGTGAAGTGTTTATGACTTGAACATGAACATTTCATGATAAAGTGAGAATTTCTTGCTACAAGAAATCGGTTTTAAATAATATAATAATTAGTAATTTAACTTCTCAATTATTGGCTGATAAAATAATTCGGAATTTGAAAATTAGAATATAAAAATTGGTGAGTAATATTAAGAATTGACTTATTCCAAATTTAACTGTAATTCAAAATTTCGATTATGCCGATGTCTGTTATAACATTTAAACAAATTACTTTTCTTACGCAGAAACGAATGTCTGAATTTTACACACCTTTTGTAGGACATTTTTCAGACGCTAAAAAACTTCTGAATAAAATGAAAATTTGTCTGAATACAAAATTGGCCTTTTTCCTATTCTCATCTCTGGAGGATAAATTTCTTGGGATAAGAATTCCGGATAATGTGCCAGACAATGTTAGATTTTGGTGAAGTGTTCATGACTTGAACATGAACGTTTCATGATAAAGTGAGAATTTCTTGCTACAAGAAATCGGTTTTTTCTTGTCAGAAGATGCGAAAATGACTAAAAATATTAAAAGCTTCGACCCAGTGAATCATGAATCAGAGGCTTTCATATTGAATGAATAGAGAGTTTATGCAGAGGAAAACCTCCAGATATTAAAAAAATATAACCGTCGCTTACGCTCAATCGCTTTGAGTTCGAAGGGAAGCAATATCTTCGTTTCCTTCTGTCAAACTATTCTTGTCTTTTGAGGAATATTATCTCACTTCGAAAAAAGACATCATCTTTTCATTCAGTAACTTCCTCCTCAGCCCGAAGAGCGCCGATTTCTTATCTGAAACCTACGGTAAATTGATCAAATATATGCGCGATGTTTTTCGCTCAAGAAATGATTTTCGTGATATTATGTCGATTTTTCTCCCAGTGTAGAAGTACTTTTTCAACTGATCGGAAGTAACTTCTTTTAGTGCAGTCTCTCTGATATAATTCATTGCCTCTTGGCGTCACACATGCCCTCACGTACAAATGACGCGATTCCTTTTTTACGAGTTATGCCGTTTATTCTGTAATGTTCAATGTTACAGTTCCACCGGATATAATCGACGATGAAACCAGCGCTGACATGATCATACGTGAGGGCAGTAATGTCACCCTGAAGTGTTCAGCAACTGGGTCACCACGTCCCAACATCACCTGGAGGAGGGAGAACAGCAACGGAATACTTATCGGAACTGATAGTAAAGGTTCGTGTCATTAAATCCCCCGCCATATCAATCCCTTAACTTTCAGGTAATTCAATTCCACCTCCGTATCCCTGCACTGAGAGAAAAAATTAGCTCCGCCGAAAAACTATGCTCCACGTGAGAATATTTGATGGAGTGGAACAGATTTACTCGGGGGAAATTAACCGACTTGATGGAAGGAACTTTAATTTCCTTCACAAAAATTAAATTTTTGTCGAAATCAGCGGAAATATCCCTAGAAGAATCCCAACTGTTGGCAGGAAAAATATCATCTGTTGTACGACAGTCCCTTGATCTGAGAGAACTCCATAGGTTTATGCAATAAAAAAATACATTGACAAGTCAAACGGTTCAAGTCAATTCCATTCTAGCGCCAATTCTCGATGAATATCTCAAATTCTAAAGGAGTTAACAAAATTTTCGTAAAGATCTTTTTTAAAGAAAAGTGAAGACTATCGAAAAAGATCTTACAAAAAATTCGCTATCTTTCGTCAATTTCGAGTTATTCAACAAAAAACTCAAAATTTTGCCATTTTTTTTTTAATTTTAATTTTTTTTTTTTTTCAAAAAACTCAAGTGGGAGATAAGTCGATTTAAACCGATTGACCACTTCACTTCTGAAATGTCTCACGAGGACAATTACTACTACGAAAATTATCATGTTTTGGTTGAAAATTGAAAAATATCTCTTCAGAGGAACACACAATTTTTCGGCAGAACTAATTTCTTCTCTCACCGTGAGGTCATCCCTCACGAAAGTGCACCTGAATGTTTGAGAGAAGAAGCACAAACTGTTGCCGATAAAACGTAGATGTTACATTCGGATACAAGTGTATAACAATTTTGTTCGGAAGTCGTGAGGTCAGGGGGGGGGGATCAGACCACGTGGCGTACACTAGGCACTCCTGCAGGCAACGACAAACTTCATATTTGCATTGAAATTGGCAAACAGAATGGGCGGTCGGCAGCCGGGGAAACCCAAAAGTACCTGATTTGTATATCTACCGCTACTCCTGGGCTTGCTGTAGCAAAATTGTTGATATCCTTAGGAGTTTCATTGAGTTTTGGTTCAGTTACATGTTCAATTTCAATTTATGGTTATTTCCGGGGAATGATAAACCGGATATCTCATATATTTTACCTGCGATTGACATTTTTTTTCAACAAAATAAATTGTTTTTCCAAATGCGACAATTTAAAATTTAACAAAATCGTTTAAATCATTTTTTTTGGTTCTGCTACAGCTCTATTTTAATTTAACAGAATAAATAAAATGAAATTCAATAAAACGAATTTTTTTTCGACTGCTACGATTTAAAATTAAAAAATCGTTAAAATGGCAGCGAAATTGTTTGAAGAGTTTCGTTAAGTTTTGGTTCAATTACATGTGCAATTTCAATTAATAGTGATTTCCGGGGAATGATAAACCTGCCACATAAATAATAAATGATAATAATAATAAAAATGGAATTTTGTCCAGCTGCGACACCTTAAAATGAAAAAAAAAACATTGAATAAATTGTTCAATTCCCCCATAAAAAAATATGAAATAAAATGATCAATGAACTCTCCAATTAATCCCCAAATAAATTCTTCGCGAAGCAGAGGAAATTCTCCCCTAATTCAGGAGTATTTTTCCCCCCAGAAAATTAGCATAAAGATAACTCCATCTCCCCCGGTCTTTTTTTTTTTTTTCAATTTTCCCCCATTACCCTTATCTCGCACGTGAAGGTGACAATGTTCACCACGTTTTCGTTACGCCATTCACTCTGACGCTGTGAAGAACGGCGCAGGGGCGGTGGGAAGCTTTCACAAATAAAAAGAGGTAAAAATAAAAGAACAGTGAGGGGAAAAAAAATGAAAAAGAAGCGGTGAGCGTTTAACGACGAAATTAAGTCGGAGACGTTAATTTTATAGTCTAACCCAGCGTTGTACATCGCGTGTGACGCCCTGACGGAATAAGTAAAGCCTCGCAAAGTCTTATCGTGTCACAAATACCCGGAGCATCGGCTGTACTCACTGTTAGTCTTGGGGCTTCTGGAGAAATACATAAATCCTGGGATTTTATTCAAATTTTATCGATTTTTCTCCTGAATTCGCGACTTCAATAGTTTATTCATGATTTTATTCGAGTGTTTCATGAATTTTTCCGTCATTTCTCGAGTTTTTCCCCATTATTTTTCATTGGTTTGTTTGAGGGGAGATTATTTTGTCGGTTGAACGGGGAGTTTTCAACGATTTTTTCGGTGTCAAAGGTCAGTTGTCTGGTTATGGAGGTCAGTAATCACGCGCAGGGCACTTAATTATACCTCTGAGTAACCTCCACTTCATGAAGATTGTGGGAGTAGACCACAGGAGCCTCTGGCTGCCCCCACGTGAACCACTTCCGCCTGACGGAGATCTCCTCAACCTTCCGCCAATTCAGGAAGGGCTTATGGGGCGTGGGGTTGCGATCGAAAATTATCTAAATAGAAAAATCTGGTGGGTTTAATCTGGCGAGGAAGTGGTTTTACGCAATTCAAAAATTCCCCATTCACAATTATCTCTGCAAACCAGGGAAATTATTTATCTGAAGGGAACGAACGTTATTTTCATTAAACTCGATTTTCATCTCCGTTTATATTCAAATAAATATTCTTTTAAGCGTGAATAAATCTCTTTGATCTTAATGGAGACTTTGTCGGTTGTTAATTAATTATTGGAAGTGGAATTGCTGCATTTTCATTTTAATAAATGAATGAGTTCATTGATGTCGAAAGAAAATATTAGAATGGAATAGGGTAAACGGAAATTTAAACATTAATATAATTGTTGTAGCCGTAATTGTGGGGAAAATTTTGTTGTTTTGTCCAGTTTATTCATTTTTTTAATCATTAGTTAAAGAATTTTATTCACAATCATTTGTTTGTTATACTTCATTAATTAGTTTATTCACTAAGTTATTCGTTCATTATATTTTATTTTATCTTGCTTATTTATTAATTAGTTTAATGTTTTTATCGTTCAAAAGACTAAAAAATTAAGAAAATAAATTTTTATTTGAATCAAATAGGCCACACGGAGAGGAATATTCGGTAAAAATTACGGAACAATTCACGTAATCCGCAATGGGGAATTGTTTTCTGGGAATTTTTATAGGAATGGAAGAGAATAAATCTGAAACGTTCAGTGAATTTTCAGGTTCATCACCGAACAAAGTACGAAATTATTTCGTAATTTTTCCTGAAGAAGTAAAATTTTACAGAAACTTGCTGACTTATTGTGCCTCCAAAATCAAAAACTCTTGAACGTTCAACAATTTTTATGAAGCGGATGAGTTATTTCTACGTTCCGTTCCGTAAAATTTCTCAATCGTTGGGGAAAAATAACGGAACGACTTGTTGTCCCCACAGCGTTGAGTCATCAGACGAGTGATTAATTTTTACGGAACAAATCGTAGAATTTACGTGGCGATTCGTACAATTTCACTTCCGACTCACACTGTTTATTGAATTTTACTGCGCTCGCGGATTGCGTTTCGAACTGTAATTTGTACGTTTTTTTCTGGTAATTTCTCTTGAATTTCTCCCTTTAAATTTCCGATTAATAAATTCCACGTGAAATTAAATTCCCAAAAGCCCTAATTCCCTTTGAAAAATCATTAATTCACTGACAAACTGAGTCGCCTCATCTCAGAGCACACACATCCCCAGTTTCCCCAGCAAATATTCCCCCGGATTTAATTGTGGTCAGTGTTGATGTGGTGCCTTGACTTTCGACCAAGTAAACTAAATTTGCTGTACCAACTGCAGTGACTGAATGCAAAAGGGAAAGATGAGAGGGGGGAATTGAAAACTGGAAATGGCATCAGGAGCTTTGCCCAGTTAGCCTGTCTAAATAAATAGTCGCCTTGCAGCGTGAAACCATGGGAGCACGATAGAGAGACAGGGAGTGAAAAAGTGCTAGCAAAAATACGTCGAGTGGCTTTGATTTGATGGCTCCGGGGATGCGGTGACGCTTGCGGCATTTGCTCTGTGACTTTTGACTTCTCATCGATTTTTTTCGCACACCCTTTCTCTCACTCTCGTGTCACTTTGCAAAGTAGACACGGAGATTGCGATTATAATTGGATTTTAGAGCTTTTTTGTGATTTTTTTTTGCAGTAACGAGTGTCGAGGGCCAGAATTTCACCATCAGCAAGGTGAATCGTCTGCACATGGGGTCGTATTTGTGTATTGCGTCCAATGGGGTGCCTCCCACTGTCAGCAAGAGGATTGCACTCATCGTTCATTGTGAGTATTTGATTGTTTATTGCTGAATTATTCTGAAATTACTGGACAAATCAACGCTAGAAGCCTAATGGAGTTGTTGCTAGGCAATTACAACATTATAACACTTCTCAACTGGGAAATATTCAACAAATCTCCAAGTTATTATTTTTTACGATACACTGCGCGGAAAAAATGTGAAATTATTTTTTACTGTGGGAACGTACTATTCAAGGATCATATACCACACACTCAAAATTTACTGTTGAACACAGTAAAAATTGCGTAGTCGTAGAATGAAAGTAAAATATAATTGGCACGAGTAAAAATGTATTCAAGCCAAATAAATTTTGAAATTGTTGCTGTATGGTCCTCGATTACTATCTTCACATTCTAATTCAGTACCGAAGTGGTTAAAACGGCTTTTCTGGTATATTATAATTTCTGGCTTCTGCTTCGTTACACTTTACTTCCGAGTTCATCTGCCTTCTACTTCTGATCTAGGGAATGGATAAGGCCAGGCTACTTTTGTCTTGATTTGTCCACGTAATATTTCAATATCTAAACTACCAACGAACAACCAACATCATAAATTTTCTGTTTTATTTTGCAGTTCCACCAATGATAACAGTCCAAGATCAGCTGGTGAGCGCTCGTGTAGGTCAATCAAAAGTCCTCACATGCACCTCCGAGGCCTTTCCCAAATCAATAAATTACTGGACAAAGGACAAGACTGAGATAATAGCGCAAGGTGAACAATTTCTCATTTAATATCAAATCAAATAAACCTGAATTCGTGATATGTATCAGAACTCCGTTCATCATATCGTCTGGTTTACACCGCCAACAGCGCTGTAGTGGATTGCACTTGAATAATGCATGATTCAGTCCATGACATTGGTGATACAACGTGAATTTCATCAGATTGTATTTTCATGATCATTGGGAAGATGGCTGCATAAACAGTGGGAGCGTATCGATGGTGTTATTCTTCTCCCCGGTGGTATGGGGCGTGCCATATTGAGATCAATAGCACAAATGTCTGGGTTGGTTAATGGCCGGGTCGTTCGATTATTGCTACTGTTAATGGGACTATAACTCTAACATAACAATCGCGGTATTAATCATGTTTTGGTGGATGGTGTTGAATTTGAATAATCAAATTTGCTGGGGATGTCTGTTGGTCTAGAGCTATTTTACGGGGGTATTCGGGTCAGTGGGGAGGGGTTACCAATTGTTATTACAAAATTAATCAGCATATTCATTGGTCGTTAATTCCGATGGAGATGACGATATTTCAAACACGGGATTTTTCATTTTACAGTAGGAAAAATATTGTCGTGTGATTATTGTGTTTTATGGGGTCAGTGTGGGAGGTGTTATCCTGAGTTCTATGAAATGTTACGGGAGAATACGTCTTCAGAAACCATCACTTGGTGTTGAATGTTTTTCAGTTGAGAAGTGAGAAGAAGAAATTTAATTGCATTCGCTTTCTTGTTCTTTCATTTCCATATTTGCTTTTCATTTGGACTGTTTTATCTCTGGATGAGCATGAGCAAGCTGTCAATATGATAAACTGTGGTTTTGTCCTGTAATATTCACAAAGTGACGTGAGAACACGTCTTCGAAACCATCACTTGTAAATGTGTTGAATATTTTTCAGTTGAGAACTGAGAGGAAGAAGAAACTTAATTGCATTCGCTTTCTTGTTCTTTAATTTTTATATTGGCTTTTCATTTTCACTGTTTTATATCTAGATGAGCATGAACACGTCAATACGATAAACTGTGGTTTCGTCCTGTAATATTTAGAGACTCTCATCGTATCACCATTGAAAATAAACAGACCGTTGATTCCATGTCAACATAATGGACATCCGTCAGTCCTCGCAACGACCTGCAGTTGATTGAGATTCCCACATTCACGAGAACAAAAGCCCTATTTACCTATTTGTATTGAGAGTAGTAATCATTTCATCGTCAGATCCCTCAGGACCAATTAATACATCATTTAACGCGACATTCGCCTCAATTACTTTAGCAACATTCTCCCTATTTCATTGTGCCTCAGTGTATTTTTGCTATCGACAAAGTGTATCACGTATAAAAGAGGAGAGGAAGAATCTCGTATCGATTGACCATAGCTAGTCTCTCGTTGACGCTGTACTTTTTCGTATACTTTTTATCTTCATTTTCCGGCGAATTTTCTATACAGACTCAATCACCCTGGGCTGCTTCCTGTGTCGCTTCATTCCGGTCGATCGAAGCGATTTTTATTTGGTAAAAGCTGCCGTAAGCTTCGCCTTTAAGACATCAGTTACTATTTTCGGGGGCAGAATAACGGTGGATTTATAGAGCTAGATTGGGGGGGTCGGAGTTATCGAGGCTGATGGCTTGAAAATTTCATGTTTGAAGGGATGAAAAATGAGGTATGTCTGGGGTGAAGTATCGAATATCAACATTTGTAGCGAATTTCTCTGGGTTATTGTCTCCACTCTTCCAGCGATTTTCATAGCGCAATCGCATCAGCTGAACAATCCCTGGAAATAGGGAATTTTCGCGGGGAGAATTTACGCTGAATCCTCTACAATGGCCTGCTCAATGCCCAATAGCTTCACAAAATCTTGCAAATTTTCTATAGTCACCCGGGCCTTTCACGGTTTCATTGCACCTGGAATTTTCAAAACGTCTGTTATCCGGATTCGAAGGTGTCTTGAATGCATGAATGGGTGTCGATCTAAATAGAAATCACGTTAACTTAGTTTCTGCGTGCCGAATACTCAAATAACCTAGACAGGAGAGGAAACAGGGTGAGGATTCAGAGCCATCATCTGACGTGATTGAACTATTGTGACGTCGGGGATTTTGATACACGAGTGTTTTGCCAGCGGACGATCGGACGACAGTGAAGCTCCTTTTTTAAGAATTCGATGTCCATCTCAACTTTGTTTTGCAATTCCGGCGTTGGTTTATTAATTGGCACCTTCGGACGTGTCTTGTGAGGGCAGTCAGGTGATTGATATGCGGAGGAGGTGCACGGACCTGGGAACGTGTTCCCTTTGGACAGAGGGAACTCGGATTTAATTATTGTTGTTAAATTTCCAACGGGCTTGCACTTTATGAACTGAGATTTTTCAGGTAAAAGGGGAATTCTTAATAATCGGGTGATTCATTATTTAATTCAGCTGTCCCCGAGTGTTTTAATATTTCATCGGCTTCCGGTGGAAGTTAATTTTATTTAATTGAGTTAATGGATGGCATCAATGACATTTCAGTGAATTAACTGAGGACTCTGCTTGGTATTCCAGACGTGTGAAAGTTTCAACGAACGTGACGACATTATCTCGCCGTTTTGGCCTTTTACATTGAAAATTAATTCCGGAGAATATCTTGGAAACGAGATTTTCCCTCGTTTTTTATAGTTATCAGTGGGGGTAATCCAGCGGGTTCTTAACTTTCAGACGGCCGGTATGAACCAGTTTTCGTCGAGGATGGCTATACTGTTCACATGAATCTCACTATTCGCTCGGTGACCAAGTCTGATTTCGGCGCGTACAAGTGTGTATCGAGAAATTCACTCGGAGATACTGATGGCACAATCTCACTATACGGTAACTGCACGAACTCAAGCTGTTCATTGATTATTTCAATTAAATTCTGATTACTCGAGTTTAATTGAACGAGCGGGTTGATTAATTTTTTCCTCATTCATTTTTCAGAGAATGAAAATACGGCGTACGAAACCAGTGATGATCTCAAAAATAAAGGTAAGAATATTTTTTAAAATTGAAATTTCAAAAAATTATGATCCCCGCAATCGATTGCATTTTTAAAATTGGCGAATCGACAAATTTTTGATGAAAAACTCAATATGACGGCTATTTTCACCGCATTAGCATTCGAGATATTAAACTTTTATATCTCTAGTTCTATTAGCTACAAACGAATCGACATATTGACTTTTTCCGCCGGCATGTCCGCCTCTCCCTCGAGTGAATGAAAATTTCCCTCTTCTACGGTTCAATATTTTCATTCATAAAGAATCTGAAAAATGAACTAAATCTCAATGATACTTAAAAATACCCGATAAACCCACTTCCCCATGAAGACCCGCAATTGAATAGTGGATGAGAATCGATAGAGTTCTGTATGCAGTACGCGAAAAATGCATTTGCCTCGACAGACGTGAAGAAACTAATTTGACTGCCCAAATCCACTCATGAAAAGTGTAAAAATATGAGAGGGCCAATGAATGAAGGAATTTGCAAACGTTCATACGAGTGCAGTTGACTCGAGTGGATCCCATTACATTTGTCTGTTATGCTCTTTGCTGCCTGAAGGGCTGGTCTAGTGCCACGGTAATGATACCAATGACTGGCAATTTGTTTGAGGACAATGGATGGTCGTGAATGAACTCGGCTCAGTGATTAATTAGACCTCGTGTGCAAAGCTCTTCAGCGATCATTTCTAATTACCTCGGGGCATGGTTTTGCTTGGATTGAGTCGTTGATTAACTCGAGAACAAAATATCAATCGACAGTTTTGTATACTGCTAGGAGATCGAACGGATTTATGAGTAATTGTTTTGACTAGGCTAACGGCGCGCCTCTACGACGTGAGACTAGACGATTGAGATGGTGAACTCGATTCGATATTCGTGTGACACAAATTATGAGCGAACGTCAGCATGCGCGAGTGCCTTTTCAATAAGGACGATTGATGCGAGAACAAAATATCAATCAATAGTTTTGAATATTGCTGGTGTAACCCACGGACTCGGGAGTATTTGACTTGACTCGGCTGACGGCGCGCTCTCGCACGCCTCTGCGACGTGAGAATAGCCAGATGAGATCGGAGATTCGATTTTATTCGATATTTGTGTGACACGACTTCCGGAAAATGACGTCATGACGTGGGTGTGCATTTTAAATAAGGATATTGAATGAGAGATTGTTCACCTTGTGCTATTGTCTCAGTCTTGTCCTTTGTCCGGTAATTTATTGATTCGGGAAAGGCTTCGGAGGTACATGTGAGGACTTTTGAATAAAACAGAAAATTTATTCATTGATTATTCACTGATATTTTTGATATTGAAATGTTACATGGACGAGTCAACAGTAAGTAAAGTATTATCATATTATTATTGTGGGTGATGGGATCGGTTTACGCCCGAATTTCAATCAATGTATTGTCCTGAGTTCCACAAGAGGCCTGATTTCATTAGAGCCAGAAGGGGAAAATTATTTCGTCATAATGGGCAGGCATTCAACAACTCACTGATAAACCGTGCTGTGTCCTGTGATATCTAGAGAGACATCATTTCACCACAGAAAATAATCAAACCATTGATTCAATGTCAACATAATAGACATCCGTCAGAATTCTCGCAACTGCCTGCAGTTAATTGAGATTCCCACGTTCACGGGGGCAAAGATTTAATTCGGCCATTTGTATTTGTCCATTTGTCCCTCACTCATTAGCCCTCTCTCTATTTAGCAATACGAATCAACGAATTTACATTCACCCGGAGGCTTGAAATGTGCCCATGACAACGGTAATGCAGAAAGTGGGATTTGAACTCGTTTTATGTAGGTGAATTGTTAACCCATTTCAACTCACTGGATGGAAAGAATATCAAACAGTGGAGCGGGGTATAAACGGACATTTCTTTCGGATAGATCAAAGGAGGCCGCAAACGTTTCCACCCCCTCACGGGTGTATTCAACCTTTATGAATAAGCAAATCCCTCGTAATCCGATTTAAGTTAAGCTGTTGAGTATATCTAACATGGAGGGAATATTTCTTTGATAATGCTACGGCTCCATCAGCGTTTTGTGGATTTGTTTTTCCGCGTTTCGTTTGAAATTTTAATTTTTTGCTTTGGATTATATATATTTTTCAATGGATCATTATTTTCTCCCGGACTTTTTCAATCTCCGAGGATTAAACTTAATATGAAAAGTTGTTAAAGGCTAATTGGAACGGAGATTCGTTCAAATAGTAGTCAAAGAATTTTATTAATTGCAGAACATTTTTCATTAAATAAAAAAAATGGGAAATAAACATTTATAAATACTAATTAAAAAATCACGTTTCGTTTGGTTAAAATTGTAATATGGAAAACTGTTGAAGGCCAATTGGAGCGGACGTCGGTTCAAATATAAGTGCAGAATATTTTCCTTTGAATAGACAAAAATGGGAGAAAAACACGTTTACGATTTCAAAAACTACGTTTGAAAGCATCAAAAATTCCTCTCAATCCCGCTGTAAACCCCATCAACTATTCAAAACTAATCCACTCGACGTTACACCGAAACCCTGATGAATTCCGCCAATTTCCTTTGATTTATCAACATTAATTAGCAACAAAAACCCTCCATCAAAGGGATGAATTTTCCTTTTTCGAATTAATTTTCCTCTGTGATGTATTCGTATTTCCGGCGATTGTGGCTCGGAATTTGCTAAAAAACATTCATGCAAGCTCTCCTCCATGTCTCTCTGGTACATAGGTATTCACCAATGCCCTCCTCCCACCCTCGCCTCTTCAAAAACATATATCCTACGAAATTATTAACGCCGGACAAAATTCCTGGAGCTCCGGTGGCGGCGATTAATCTTCACTCGGGAAACTATCGTGCTTTCCACCTCTCCAGAGGCGATTCACGAATATCTATGTGACACGATTAAATCTCAGGTTCATTGAACGAAGGATACCATTAATACTGCAGTGATGTCGGCAAAAATTAATGTGTCGATCCGGGTATTTATTATTTATAAGAGTTTCTCACATTTTTTATTAATTAATAAATCAATTCTGTTATTAATTAATAGAATAGAATAATGGAAATTTCGATTCTAGTCTCGTCTCATTCACTCTTCTGTTATTTAATTAATTATCGAGTAAAATTAATCCGAATTAATCGGTTAATCAAGGTATTTTTTTATTTATATTTTATTTTCATCCGCGTGTGGTTAATTGGAGGGGGAAGGTTTAATTATTTGTAATTGCGTCAAGTTTCGATTCGGGAATGTTTGGCGTGGGTGGGGGTTCGGGAGTTATGATGATTGTGGGGGTTTTTAATTAATTACGATATGAATTGACTGATTTTTTGAAAAGTAAATGAAAAAAATTTCCAAAAATTCGATTTTTTTCCTCATTTGCATAAAACGAAACTCTGAAGACTATTAATACCGAATTTTCCTCAGGGGAAATTTCTTCATATTTTCCATCAATAAACGGAGCAATTCTGTTCTTAAATAATCACATAGAATAATGAAATTTCCGATTCTCCATTGAGAGAAGGTTAATCCGAAAATTGAGTTGACTGATCCTGTTGGGTCCCTTCACTGCTAAATTCACATCGAGGAATCTCGTCTCGTTAATTATTCCGTTATCTCATTAATTATCGAGTTGAAAGGAAAATACGTACAAAGCTTTTTCCTCGGTGAAAAGGCAAAGCCCCACGACCTAAATTAACCGAAATAAAAAAGTTTGAATTTGAAACAAGAAAAAAAATTCACAGACAACTTCGAAAGCCGCTTAGTAGCTTATGGTGCAGCTCAACAGAGTCATCTTCCTCGTGTGAAAATACGAAATCACGGAAGACAATTTCACCATTTTTCGCTGTTGAAAATTTTTGTCTGAAATTTCAAGGAATTTCAGTTCGGTAAAAATGAAGGGAAAACCAGAAAATTGCGGTCAATATATTTTTGAATTTTCAGAAGATTGACACTGAATGCGATTAAATTCAATGTAATTTGTCCCTGAATATTCATATTAGATTGAAAATTCAAATAAATTAACAAATTTTTAACTTTATGCTGCTTAAAATTTCGGAACTTCACCGAATTTTAAGTGAAACCTGAAATTTCAGGATTTTTTTCCCCTAAATCGCATTACCCTATTTTTCTAATAGCGTGATCCTCATCAAGATATCCACATCAACCCGCAGCAGTTCGCCATTGTGCAACTTCGCGGCTGATATTTCCCCTCTCTCATTACCAACTCGTTCATTGGCGAGTAATACTCACATTACAAACCCTGTCCGGACGGCTCGTGACATCCAGAGATATGTTCCAGCTATGATAACGCGCTATCGGATACAGAATCCCAGTTCCGGATCGACGCGTGTCGCTCTCGGGAGCAACAGAAATAGACAGATGAGACTGGAAATTGAGGCGAGTGAATATGTGAAAGGGACCTTACGTGGAATACGACAAGTTGTCTGTGTAGGGTCGATAGGCATCGACAACTCGGTGAGGGACTGCGAATTGAGTGAGACGAACATTTCGAATTTGTCACTGAGAATCCGAGCGGAATGAGACATGCATTATTCCCGCCACGTGTGCAGGGCGGGGGGAGCTGGATAGTCAAACCGGACGGACAGGGCAGGGGTGAGGGGGTTGGGGGGGGGTCGTAAGCTTTGTGGGAGCATACTGTATGCTCTACAAAGAGACCAAGTAAATTACTTGCTGGATGGATGTACTGAGAAACGGTGAATGAAATCTTGAGTTGATTGAGAGAAATCTTGAGTTGGTTAAGGAGAAATTTGAAGGGTTTGAATTGCTCGGAACGAGGAATTCTTGCGGAATTTGAGGGCCGACGCGAGGGCCGTGTAATAGAGCGGAATTTCTGGTTTGAATTGGTGAATTTTGGCGTAGTGAAACGGATGAGTTTATCTAGGACTGTTTGATTTGTCTGGGGTGACGGCGCGCTGCCGGGAGAATAGACTAGTGGGATGATTCGATTCGAATTTGTGTGACACGAATTACGAGCGAACGTCAGCGTGCGCGTGTGCCTTTTAAATAAGGACGATTAATGCGAGAACAAAATATCAATCAATAGTTTTGAATATTGCTGGTGCAACCCAGGGACTCGGGAGTATTTGACTTGACTCGGCTGACGGCGCGCTCTCGCACGCCTCTGCGACGTGAGAATAGACAAATGAGATCGGAGATTCGATTTTATTCGATATTTGTGTGACACAACTTTCGGAAAATGACGTCGTGACGTGGGGTGCATTTTAAATAAGAATATTGAATGAGAGATTGTTCACCTTGTGCTATTGTCTCAGTCTTGTCCTTTGTCCGGTAATTTATTGATTCGGGAAAGGCTTCGGAGGTACATGTGAGAACTTTTGATTGACCTATCCGAGCGCTCACTAGGTGATCTTGAACTGCTGTCATTGGAGGAGCTGAAAAATAAAACAGAAAATTTATTCATTGATTATTCACTGATATTTTTGATGTAAATATTACATGGACGAGTCAACATTAAGTAAAGTATTATCATATTATTATTGTGAGTGATGGTTCGGATCGGGATCGGTTTACGCCGAAATTTCAATCAATGTATTGATCTTTGCGTGATTTTCTGGAGAGGGGCTATTGTCCTGAGCTCCACAAGAGGCCCGATTTCATTAGAGCGAGAAGGGAAAAAATTACTTCGTCATAATGGGCAGGCATTCAACAACTTGCGTGAGAATACATCTTCAAATAACATCTTTCCTCTCGCTGCATGAATTGCAAAGTACAGCCCGATAAATTTAGTAATGAGAAAAAACAGCTTCGGAGTTGATAAGACTTGTTACCAGTTAATACAGGAAATACTTTTCAAGTTCATTCGATGAACTCAATCTCGTTGCAGCCGTTTCTTTCCAGCAGTTTAATGGCTAATCTCGAGAATCCGGAAAACTTTTTCCACCTAAAACACTTTGTTTTATGACTAATCGATCGGCTACAGCCGCTGCAGCTGCTGTTCTTCTTTGTGGGAAATGTGGGATGTTAACAAGTTGATATGCCGTTCAATTACGAGGAAAGCACATCGCGGATAGTTCAGGGCATTATGTCCCGTGGGTGCGATTTAATTTTGAATATCGGATTTCTGATTCAGTCATTTTATTCTCGCGATTCTCGTCACTAAATTTTTAAGGCTCTTTCATAATTTATTGTCGCACTAGATTCTTCAGCGTGTTCATCAATCATTTGACATTTCGGTGAAGACGACTGTGTTATGTGTCTTAGATGACTCCAGGCGGAACAAAAATTCAGAGAAATGTCAGGAGTTCAATGGGCCATTTCGTCATACATAAAATTTACGGCTTTAGTTTTAACGGGTGTAGGTCACTGCGAGTTTTTTTCATGTCTTTGTCACACGATTGTACTTCGTAACGAGTCAAGTTATGTTGAGTGATATTTCAACATTGAATGTTCTTTATTTACTTTTTTTATCGATCACAAAAACTTGAAATTGACCAGAACTCAAAATAAAATTTACGTAATTCTGGAATTATCTCATTCATTATTTCAACGGAATATTTGACGACAAAAATCGCGATGTTTTATGCTAGTTGCATATTCACATGGATATAAAAACCCTAATCTGTCATAAATATTCCAGGTAAACTGAAGAAAAACTCCAACAACTTACTGGAGGGTAATCAGAATATGCTAAAAGAACAAGGTACGATATTTTAGAATTATGCTGAAGTATTATGAAAGGGTATTAAGTTAATGGTTCCAGCGGAGTTGATCTTTTGGTATAATTCATTTGCATACATAGTTTATAGCCGAGAGATGCAGAGTTTTCGAACGAAAATTCACTTTTCAATTATTTCACTCTTCATTGTCTGAATTATTTATTTTGTTCTAGTGAATCCTCCCTTTCTGATTAGAAAATCATTGAAAAATTTCAACATTTGCGACTTTTTTTATCGTTAGAGTGACAAAATGAAGACAACGTTCTTCCGGAATTGACAAGAGAATTAAAAAAAATATTTTTGTGGAGAATTTTTTTATTATTTTATTATTTTCGTTACAAAATCTATTCTTTGCGAAATAATTCAATACTCGAAACGAAATGATTATTTCCATTTAATCTAAAACGTCTGGAGCTCAATGACAAAATCCTAAAGCAGTGATAAGATCATTAAACTCTGTCTTCCAGACTTGAAACTACGAGGTAGAAAGGATAACAGCAATGACGGGGAAGATTACGAAGATTCTGGTACGTCAGCGGCAAAGTGCAGTGCTTGTCTGGCAATCGTAGCAGTTGCATTGGTACTTTGCTTTCATCACCATCTTCAGCTCCAGGCCCTTCATCCCGCCTGAGTGGATGAGCCCCCCTCGTTCCCCTCAACCCTTCAGACCCACCGACAAACTGTATCTCCATCGCGAATGATCTTTAGAAAACACGAGTTACAGGTTTAAATTGAAACTTTTGAAGATGATATCTATGAATTCAAAATCCACTCTATTTTCACTGCCAAGAGAATCTGTTGTAAACTCCAGTCAGAGGCGAGGGATGCCGAGAAGGGTCTTTCAAATAAATTGTAGAACTTTTTCATTTGAAAGGTAACATTCAGGTGGAAGGGGACGCGTTGAAATTTTTCCGGATTATTTCGTGAATATCTTGAGGATTAAAAGGTGCAGGAGTTGCAAAAGAGGTTTTTCAATTTCTTAATTTAGGTTTTTATGTATTTTTATGGATTTTCAGATATGAACTCATGTTTTCGAGTTAAAAGTGAGATATTCAAGATTTTGTAAAAAAATATTGTTGCTTTAATTTTTGAATCAATGTTTTGAATTTTTGTTGGACCCGTTTGTGTTCAAGATATTCACGAAGTTTGCTCATTAGTCGCGATCATGATTAATTTTCGATACAACAAATATATTAAGACTGACTGGGGGTTGAGTGGAAATTACAGTTTCTGTGTAATACAGTTTTATGGAAGCTTTAAGATGTGCTACGATACCCGAAACGTGTAAATAAGAAATATCTCAAATTCAGTGCGCGCAAAAATGTGAAATTCTATATGAAATTTAGGAACAAAACGAGGGGAGTCGAAGTCGAGGGGGCATTTGCACGAATTTTTTCGAATAATTGGGATGTTTTGTGAGAAATTGTGTTCATGATGAAGAATTGAAAAATACAGAACATTTATTGTGGGGAATTTTTCTGTTGGGGAAAATTGCCTTCATATTTTCGTTCAATATTATTCATTGAGGAGATAATTAGCTGTTTATAATATTCAGATGTGAAATGAGATCCAGAATCTCTTCTATTTCGTCATTTCACTTGTCCACTGATTAATTCAATTAAAGAATTGAGTAAAGGACGAAAATAAAAGAACGAAAACAAATCGTTAGCTTTAAAAGCCCTCAAGATCGATTGTTTGAATGGTGTTCTCCTCTTAACCAAAAGTTCATTATTAATACTCTATAAAAACTCAGGGGATTATGAGAATATTTGTGAGGAAGGGCTGGAGTTCTTCGAAATCCCATGAATGAGAAATTTCCTTGTTGATGAGGAGTTTCAGAAGAAAATGTGGAATATTTGTTGTGAGAAATTTAATCCCTTAAGAACTCAAAGTCTTCACAAAATCCTCTCCCAAGATATTCATTAAGAAGATAATTATCCATTCATAAAATAATTTCGATGAGAAATTCACTTGTTGATGAGGAATTTGAGAAGAAAATGTGGAACATTTGTTGTGGAATGTTATCCCTTAAGAACTCAAAGTCTTTATAAAATCCTCTCCCAAGATATTCATTACAAAAATAATTACCCATTCATAAAATGATTTAAATACGAAATCCGATCAAAAATCGTTTCTATTTTATTGCATTCATCGATTAAACGTCTGACTCAGCGCCTTTTACCAACTTTCACCGAAAACAGATTAACCATTGAAGAAAGACGTGCAACTGCCCCCAGAATGATTAATTAATGTACAGTAGAAATACATGAAAACTAAATTAATTTATGTGTCGTCCGTGTGTGAGTGAATCAATGTCATAAAATACCTCTTATTTTACAACTATAAATTAATGTACTCTCATAATTTAATGGATTTATGTTAATACCGCCGTTAGAATCCTCAGTGCCTGGAGAATGAATTCGCTATGGAGTACCACTGTTGAGAAATCGAGGAATAAAGTGATCGGTCATGCGTGAATTATCAAAATTTGGGGCGAGGGGAGAGCAATGAGGTTCAAGGGGCTGGTCAGATTAAGAGAATTCGCTGCTAGACGTATCTGGGGGGGCCTTCACGTGCCACTGCATCTGCTCTGATACGATAAAAGATGGGAGATATAAAAATTGAATTGTGTTCACTCCCTGACGAATTCAGGGGCGAAATTATTCTCAATGGTTAGTGTATTTATTTTCTCAACCCCCCCTCTTTGTGTCGAGTCATTTGGGTGCGATGAGTGGATGAATGGGATGAACTTAATACGCTTTGTAAAAATGTAGATTCGCCGAGACATTCCATGCTGAGAGTCACGATTTTAACGGATTTTTTATTCCAGACAGTTTTTGATTTTTTATTTGACAAATTAGATTGTTTGGAGTTTTTCCTCACTTGCTTTTCAATGGAAATGAGATTTTTATTTTTGGATTAATCGTTTTTACGAAAATTCAAAAAATCGTGATTGAAGTAACGAAATGGAGACAATTTTCTTGTTATTTGCGAAAAAACGTGAGGTTTTTTTTATTTTTTATTTTTTTCTTTGGTTTCTGCAGTTGAAAATGCGATATTTTGCATTTCATAAGAAGCCATACTATTTATTTAACGTCCAAAGGCATGAGAATTAAAAAATCATGAATTAGGTAATGAAATAAATTCAATTTTTATCTCTTATAAACAAAAAAATATCCAAAAACGTGGAAAATTTATTCTATTTCGTTACTTCAATCAACAAAACGATTAAAATTGCGATAACTAGTTGAAAAATGAGTTCATGAATGTGTAATTGGTTGTAGAGACCATCTACTGTGCTACTACGCTTAATTTCTCAGCATAATTTTTGTAGCGATTAAGAGAAACCATTGGTTTTCGATGTGCAGTAGAGAACAAGGCTTCTACCCTTAATTTATTTATCTACACAACCGAAAGGATCATCAAATTCATTGAAATTTCCCACGGAAATTCTGCTCGCTCGGTAATGCCGGTTGTGGGAAAACAGAAAACCTTATGACCACAGTTTTGCTTGTGTACGAAGAGATTATTCATAATTATATGATTATAAATTCATACGAATACACTATTATATTTGTACAACAAGTAAACGTTAAGGTGTAAATAAAAATATGTATATTGGAATCAACAATCATTATTAGCTCTTTATTCACCTGAAAAACGAAAATTAACAGCTTTAACTCATTAAAACTCGTTTAACACTTTTATAATTCATATTAATTAATTTTTTGAGGAAAAAAAAACATTTTAAACAATTTAAAATAATTTTTTAATGAAGTTGTTGCCGCAAATTTGATTAATTGTCGTCGATTCCCAGTCAATAATAATTTTTAAAGAACTTCATAAATTTTTCATTATTAAACAAATTAATTCAGAGTTGAGGGGCTGATTTAAACAATTTTATTCCGAGTATTTCGTTAATATTTCGTAATTTGAAGGATTTTTGATAAAAAATGAGATTTCTTGGGGAGAATTCGAAAAAATATATATTTCTTAATTTTTTTTTGAAGATGGCAATTGAAAAAATGATATTACAATCAGAAAATCAACTGGGAAGAGTTTTATATCATTTTCTCCCCAGAAAAATGTAAATAATAATTAAAAAATGTGTACTCATCTCTTAATGAATTCACAATGAATTCAAATCGATTAGGAAGTCTGCAAAAACCCATTAATAACTGCCCCACGCAATAATCAATCAAAATCCCCAAGTGTTGCCTATAAATTATCCGTTGAAAATTCCTCCCCAAGGTAGCAATTTCAAATGAATTTATCACACCTCCATCGTATCAATTTCTCCAGAGGTGTCGGAATTAATTATCCGCGTATATAACAACAGCCCGACCTTACTTAGCATATCTGCGAGGTAAAGGTGGCAGGTAGAATGTCAATTATGGATCCACTGAGGTCTCAGGTGTATTTTAAAATTTTCATAAACCATAAAATTAAACGTCAAATTAAAAACCTAAAAATATCGTGAAATGCGAATAAATTATCAAAATGAAATTGTCGTGATGTTGAATAATTAACGAAAATACGTTTTCGTACATAAAGTCGTTATTATTTATACATTACAATAAATAAACGTGTATTTATAATTTTTTATGTACACAGAGCGCACATCATCGATCTTCAAAATATTTTACAATTTCTTTTCCGTTTTCAGTCATTCTTTCTTTTAAATGAAAAAACGATTATTTCGTAGCTGCAGACTATCACACGAATTTATCTATAATTTTTTTCACAGAGATGACTAACTCTGTTGACACATGTAGACTATTCATCCATTATCAAGTGGAATAGAAAAACGAATGGGCAGACACGTTCCAAAATTTTGTCAAGACTATTTTGGGAATATCTCGGAAGCGGTTGGATTTAGAGAAAAAAGTGTTAAAGTCTTTTCTGTAGAGAATTGAATTTCCAACGAAAAAGTTTTTCTGACAATTTTCTCTAAATCCAGTAGTTTAGGAGATATTTGGAAAATAAGGTCTTTCCCGTCTCTTAAATTACAAAAATCCTCTCAATCATTTCATTCCAGTCCAGGATTTTTAATTAATCAGATAAACTGAGTGCAGTCGTTTCATCTCAATATTTACACCCATTCTTCGTGATTCTGGTGAACACTGAAAGCCAATTTAATTAATTAAATGGATTACACGAAGTGAGAAACAAGGTTTTGTGTATTTCCGTGCATTTTCGTGTTATTCGTTAAAATTTGAAGCTTTAAAAAGTGTCAATAACAAAAAATATCTCCATTATTCATCAATTATCATTGATTAATCTCTTAATATTAATGTCAACCAATTATTTACAAAATCGACACTTTCATAACTTCAACTAATGGCATGTGAATCTCTCACGATAAATCGCAGGTTAACAATTGATTAGAACGCACGATTTATATTTACAGTTTATTTACGTGAGACTCTGTGAGGGATGAGATAACTTCATTAATGTTAATTAATTATCTTGACGATGATTTCAATATTTACAAATTGATTTAATAACTAGGCTATAATTAATTCTCCAATTTTGTTTTTTCGTGGTATTTACAGAGGATCGTTAGCTGATTGATTGTGAGGAATGTACAAACTACTTTCGTTTTATTATTACGACAATTGTTGTCTTTGTTGTTTCACGAGTTTTTCCCTATTTTGGCGTTAATCTTGTTCGTCTCAGTGAATTTTCACGAAAGAATTACAAAATTTCCGAAATTAACAACAGTGATGAATCAGTCGAGAAATTCAAATCCAGAGGAATAGGATGTAAAATTAAAATTAATTTATACAACATAATTTATCAATCGACTCGATACTCCTCAATTATTGTTCCCCGACTCGGAATGAAGAAATAATTAGAACCTTCAGAATTTTCTTGCGATCACGAACAAATGAATGAAATCTTTTTTCATTGGAAAATCAACGGAAAAAAATCCTAAGGGTTTATTTCACATTCCTCTTAACCCCATAATTAATCTAAATACCTCCCACCCCCTTCACCGCGCTAATCACCATAAAAATGCAGTGAATAGTATCACAAATACAGCTGCATTCGAATACGTGAACGACACAATGGCCGCACTTTTGGAGGACATTGATTGGGCTGTTTTGTCGGGCTGCATTGTCTCGTCATTCATTTTTCTTCCGGTTTTTGCGTCGGTGTTGGGCCCCTCCATCAATTGTGCACCTGAGGAAAATTAATTCTCATTAGAGTAATTGGAGATTTTCGGCGGCAGAAAAATTGGATTGTAAATTTCTATTATGTATTTTGATCGGTGTCTACTCTAGATTCTAGTTTAGGCTTATGATTAATTGAAGAAACCACTCCACTCCACTCGTCTCCACTTTTTGTTCAATGATTGAGTGAGAAAATAAAATTTAATTAGAATAATTGGCGCTTTGTGTCAACAGAAAAATTTTATTCTAAATTTCGTGGTTAGTTTGGACTCTAGATTGATGTCTAAATGTGTCTGTTGGTTTGTTTTTTGTTCTAGAGTCTTATCTAGATTCTAGTTTAGGCTTGTAATTAATTGAAGGAGACAAAACTGCTCTCCACAAAATAAATAAAAAACAGTCAACGAAAAGTCCAATAATGGGAATTGATGAATAATTGAATGAGGAAAATAAATTTGAATTGGAATAATGGGCGATTTTCGACATCAGGAAATTAAATTCCAGATTTCGACTCTAGATTTTTCTCTATTCTGGAGTCATCTTCCATTCTTTTAATTATTTAAAGGAACAAAAATATTTCCCTGCATAAAATAAAATGAAAACTTGTAACAAACTATCGACAAATCAGAACTGATGATTAATTAAGCAATGAAATTCATTCTTAATTTTTCGACATCAAAAAAATTAAATTATAAATTTTGACTCTATAGTTGTCTAAAACAAAAAAACGTTCACCAAAAAGTCGAAAACAGGGAATCGATGAATAATTGAATGAAAAGACCGCCGGTTAGTTCGCAAAAGAAAAAAATGAAAGCTCTTCAAATCACGTCCTTAACTCCGCGAACAAAAGTTCTCCAGTTTCACTAGGCGAATACACCTGAAGTTTGGTTTCCCAAACTTTGCTGTGCGCTCGCGAATTCCTATTTTCCGGGAAAACTCGTGCCATTTCCCCCCTCTGTTACGAGCTTTCATATCTAGATTTTGATGAAATTCACCGCTTATAAATGCCTCGGTACACTCCGTGAGTAATTAAATTCATAGTGCTGTTAATTTCAATATGCTGTAACTCGGTTAATCCGGAGTTTATTCGAGTAATTGAAGAATGGAATAAACTGTTGCGGTATGTTGTTGGGGTATTACGATATTTACCGCGGAATTGTTGGCATAATTAATGAGGAAGCAATGCAATTGAATTGATCACCGATGATTGAGTTTTCATTGGTAAATAATTGAGGGATGATTGAATTATTCACCTCGTTTTTCATTGGCTGTGGACTTCGATGTATCGACGAATTCATTGAAACTTGGGGCTATTGTGGGGGCGGATTTCGGCCGAGTTCTTCTTTTATTCTCAACTGGAAAAATTTAGAAATAATTAATTAAGAGAATTAATTTTTTTGTTGAGTTTTTCACACTTCACGCACTTTTTGCTGTAGACGGAGGCCTTGTTGTTGTTGTTGTTGTTGTTGTTGTGGTTGGGCTCGTCGTTGGTGTGTCAATTTCTGGAAAAGCGAATCATAATTACTTGAATTAATTAATAAAAACTGTCTCGATGTGGAATTTTTAAAGATGTTTTCATTTTTACTTTTAATTATTTTTTTTGTGCAATCGATTTCTTCCATTCAATCGCTCGGAACTAAACATGCTAAACAGAATGGAGAAGGTTTCGAACTGCCCGATAACATCAAAGTGTTGATAGCGAAATTACGTCAGATGGCTGGGGTTTCCGCGATTCACTTCGCTTTTGGGAAACTTTTGGAATAAAAGTGAGTAGACCAAACACGCTGTGAATTCGATAGACAGCTGAAACTTGTTACTCGTCTGTTTGGTAACGCAGAATTCAGAGTGAGAAACGGTGTCGGCTGCTGGAAACCCCGCCCCAACAGCGGGCCAAGTGCTTATCTTGCTGTTAAGGTGGAATGTCGGGGGATAGACTAGATTGAAAATTATACGATGTCAGGGAACATTTCCCATTGAAAGTCGTTAATTTCGTGATGACGTGACGATTTTATCTAAATAAATATGATGTCACCTAAATAAATACAACATGGAATGAAAAATTTCCGATTCAATTAACTAAAACAAAAAGATTGACAAAAAAAGATTGACAAAAAGATTGACAGAGGAAAATTTCCCCCAAAAAAACTGAATTACCCTCAAGACCATTTGTCTGCATCCACCAAAAGCCCCTCGAGTGTTTTTCCCCTCTCATCGAACCTCCAAAGAACATCACCCCACAGATCCAGGAAGAAAAAATTACCGGAGGATCGGCGCTTTGAGAAATGCATTCAACGCAAAATCAAGCGATCAACTTCTCCCCCCTCCCCTCCCCCTGGATGATAACGAAGCGTTAAGGCGCCGATTGCCCCGGTGCGATTGTACACATGCGAAGAGCCCGTGAGTCCGTAAAACCCGGAGCGCTCTTCCAAGATAAATCGACTGGGAGTGAAGTTGAAAGACGTGATCGTCCAGTGTTCAAGCGTCGATTTAAAACCTAGTCATGGGGGTATCAAACAGCGACCCATCGTCTATCCGTTCGCGACACCTTAGGCTATTGTAGGCTTCGTGAAAAATGGAATCTCCGGGAGAAAACTCGAGAACGGGGCCGCCTTCGAATCAATATCATCATTCTGTTCAGAAGAGAAATTAAATCAGAATGACGATGAAGACTATTTAGTTAATTGAATAAAAATATCTCCATTATTAATTTCAATTGACTAGTGATTGAGAAATCATGATTTTTAGGAAATTTAGGAAAAACACGGACAATAGAATAGAATGATATATCAGTGACTCAGTCAATTAATAAAAATTGACAAGACTTGAATAAAAATGGGGAAATTCATCTGTTCAATTCCAAATCCCATTTATAATTCATGAATCGTTCTTTAAATCACTGTCAACTCCGATATTAATTAGGCAACGAAGAAATTAATTGAAACCACAAATAGAATAATAAACTGTTTGATCTGTTGAAAAAATATGACGAAGAAATAATGAAACACAATCCACTGTTGTTAGAAATTTTTAACAGTACAGTTAAATTTTCCCAATTTAACTGATTCGTCGGTGAAGAAATACAAAGAAATTTCAGAATTACACAGAAACTTTTTCGTTGTTACAATTCGCAAGCCTTTTCCCTTGAAATTTGAGAAGTATTTTCCAACAGTGTACACAATCACAATTTCAGAATAATTCCCCGAGAGACGACACAATCTCTCGACAATTTTCCCACGACCAAGACTTTAATCCCGAACAAATGGAAATATGAAGGAACATAAAGAGAACATGAACCGACACTGTATCGGTGGTAAGACAGACGACACCGGAATATATCTTCGCATATTACCCGGAGCGCAGCCATTACGGGACGAAACAGCTGTTGCTACCTCAGAATTAGCCGAAGGCACTAAACTTTACCAAATTAATCAGGATTTATCCCGTAAAACGACGACCGTAAATCTTTAACAACGAGTATCCCTGGACCAAATGCATTCATGCGACAAGCCTGGAAAAACTTGGTCCATTTACTGGCATAAGTCCAATGCAATAACACATTTTATCATTTTTATTTTTACATCCCATAATTTTTTTATCCCCCACGGATTCGATATCATACTGTTGTTATTTTTCCTGAGGAAGAGATGACGGAACGAGCAGTACTCACGTCGTTATGCCTCGGAGGACATTATTTTTATCTCTATTGACACTGGAGGAAGATCCGGCGAATGGGAACGAGTGTTTGGTTTTATTTCAGGGGGATTTCATTAGGATCCCTTCGACGACGGGATAAAAACATTGATCGTAGGGTTTTCCTCGAGGTTTTCCTCATTTTTTCGTTAATATTGTGCGTCTCAATGAATTTTATTCATTGATGTTACTAGAAATATTTCGAAAATAACGAATGAGTGGAATGAATTCATGAATTTAATTGATTTAATTGACTCCAAACAACTTTATCTCATCAAAAATTGAGAAAATAAATCATTTTTATGGAGAAAAAAATGTTTAATGAGATAATTTTTATCCCCCACGGACTCGATATCATGCTGTTGTTATTTTTCCTGAGGAAGAGATGACAGAACAAGCAGTACTCACGTCGTCATGCCTCGGAGGACATTATTTTTATCTCTATTGACACTGGAGGAAGATCTGGCGAATGGGAACGAGAGTTTAGTTTTATTTCAGGGGGATTTCATTAGGATCCCTTCGACGACGGGATAAAAACATTGATCGTAGGGTTTTTCTCGAGGTTTTCCTCATTTTTTCGTTAATATTGTGCGTCTCAATGAATTTTATTCATTGATGTTACTAGAAATATTTCGAAAATAACGAATGAATGGAATGAATTCATGAATTTAATTGATTTAATTGACTCCAAACGACTTTATCTCATCAAAAATAGAGAAAATAAATAATTTTCATGGAGAAATAATTTTTTAATGAGATAATTACTCACTGTATAACTTGATACTTCCGTCGGTGCCACCGAGGGAGTTCTTGGCTAAACATTTATAAAATCCATAGTCATCCGGTCCAATTTCTTTTATCGTAAGATTCATATGCACTTTGTATGCATCTACGTGGAGATTGTCTGACATCGAGGCTTCATATTTCTCCCCTGAAACCATAAATTCAGTATAAAATTCAGTGAATAATTTATCCACCAAAAATTCTCAGGAAAATTTATTTCCATCTTTCGCAAGAAAAATACAGTAGTTGGAAAAGTGAGTAGTGGAAATTGTCAAATGCTGGGGGAATCATCGAGAGGATGAGGAGTGGAGGAGAAATATGGACAGCCGGCGAGAGACGAAAGAGTTCTTTCTACTGAATCCCGCTTGCATCGAGTGGAGTATATCGAATTTTTTTTTTCTTCAACACCGGAGAAGGAATTCCGACGTTGGGGTGGGAAAAAGGTATGGCTGGCTCAAGTACGTGGATGAAATGCACAAGGGTACTGGTAACTGTGTTATTACTGAAAACGTTTAGAACGTGGTCTTTTAACACTTGGGTGATATATAATTCGGCCGATCTCTTGTGTATCTCGTGTTTTCGTGGGAGGAATGAAAATCGATGTGAAAAGAAGAACAATAGTTTTTTTTTTTTCAAAATGCATTAAGATGAAGGAAATTAACCGTTTCTCTTTTCATTGGTCACTTCTCGAATTAAATAAATTAGATTTAAAAAATGCAGAAAATTTTCTTTTTTTGGAGAAAATGGAAATAGGAATAAAAATCGATATAAAACACGAAATAATAATTGTTTTTTTCCTCAAAATCCCTGAAGACGAAGGGAATTAACTTTTTCTCCTTCCACTTCTCGTCACTTTACGCAAACAATTCGACCTATAAATTTAGATAAAATCACGGAAAAATATACCTGAATGGAGTATAAAATATATTTGATTGAAGTATATTTTATACTCGAGTGGGGGATGGGTTTTTCGCTCTAATATTCCGACCCTCACTTTTTAACCTCCACTTTTTGACCCTCATATTCTGACACTGAGTGTCTGACCCTTATATTACACTTGAGGGCTCGCTACAACCCGGCCTGATACAAAAGAATCATTTTCAAATTGAAGTGCCCATCCCCCAATTCAGGTATATTTTTTCCGCGATAGATAAAAAAGTTCACACATTTTATTTTCAATTTTAAAAACTTCGGAGCAACTCCAAGAAATCAAACAATCCCCCAGAAACTTTAAACCAGTAGATTCACGCACTATTTTCATAATGATCCACTAAAAATGCAGGGAGAAGTATTCCACTGGCTTTTGGTATGAGACAGACTAAAGTTTTCTGCGGGGAAATAACCCAGGGCCGAATGCATTTATGGAGTGCGGGTGGTGGGGTGCCACTGGTTTTGCCGATTCACTGAGTATAACCATTGAGCATGGACTCCGGCAAACGAAAGAAAAACTTTCATCGGCTTAGAGTTTGAAAAGGAGATGAAAAAGTTTAACGACGTTGAACTACGATCTAAGCACACAGGGGGCTGTCTCACCCACCCCTCGGAGAATGTTCCTTACCCCCATCCCCTGAATTCCAGTGAAAACGGAATGGCTTTTGGGGAAAAGTTGTCGACTGAAAATTACATAGATATTTCCAGAACTGAATAATGAAAATAGATAGCTGTACCGGGTTTTCCATCAGAAACTTGCCTGTCTCGCTAACGAAACAATTTCCATCCTCTATGGAATTCATTTCCGAGAATATGGTGAATAAAATTATTGAATCAAGCGCTATAACCGAAACTCCTAAAATAATTAACTCTCTTGTTGGAGTTGCTCCGAAATTTTAAAAATTAAAAATTGAATTTTTGTTTTTATTTTATTTGTTTATTTATTTCGAACGGAATTTGTTGCAAGTTTCAATGGACTTGTAACTGAAGATCGTCCGGGGTCTTCAGAAACGTTTTTATTTTATTTAATCCTAGGGGTAGAATTATTAATATAACGAGAAGGGAAAGGAGAAAAAGTTAATTTTTCTCGTCAGGATAAATTTTGAGATAAAAAATTACTGCTTTGTGGTGTATACTGAAATTTATTCCTACTTTCATCTTCTCCAGGATTACACATCTCCCAAGAACCACGATATACAGTTATCAGTCATTTCCCCTTGTAATTAAAAAATTTTTGTCTGTCTCATACAAAAAAATCAGTGAGGTGCTTCTCCCTGCAGATGAAAACCAGAAGAGAGAAGCGAGAAAATCAGAAGTGGGAGAGGCGAGGCAGACGAATGGGAAGCCTATAAAACCGCAATGGTAGTAGGAAAGAAATATAAATAAATAAAAAAAAATAATAATACTTCTCTCTGCATTTTTTAAAGGTTTTCCAACTTCTGAAATAATAAAAACTCTCCACTTTCAGGCTTCACTCGACCATTTGGTCGATCCGAAAACCTAGAAATGATTCAATTAATTGATGAATCAGCACTCACGTAACACGGCATCATTTAATTGCCATTAGTCCCGTCTGGAAGGCATTATCGAACGAGACCGGACAGTGAGTAAAACTGGGTTATCACTTGACACGTTAATGTGACAGTTAACGAGGGGTGTAAAATTGAAAATGAGAAGAAAAATATTATCCCATTTCTCACCCTCCCGGGATCGTGACATAATTACCATTAAAGTGTCTTTTATTTTTTATCACTGCGACAGTGGATCGGATGAATTCCGCGAGCCATTAAAAATGTTTTTCCTGTATTTTCTCATGCACGTTCTCACATGATGCGAAACTCATTAAAACTCATGGAATAACTCATATGCGACCTGTATTTTTGAATTTTTTTAAAATTCTATTCATTTTTTTAATGTTATTCTTTTGAAATTTTATTCGATATTTTTTTAATTATTCGGATAACAAATAATGAATAAATATAATATATAAATAATCAATAAATAATCCCGGAGGATTATTATTTATTAATTCATTCATATTAATTATTTTATTTTGTATATTATTAATTAATTAATTAATTATTAATAATAATCCTCTGGAATTATCAATATAAATAATATAAAAAAATTTAAATAATGACTTTAATTCCTTTCAAATGTATTATTTCCCCGCGATTCCCTGCCATGTCTAAACCGTAAACAAAAAACGTGTTAATTTCATCGAACAATAGCCCCTCGATTTTCTGTGATCACGTGCCCGTTAATTTCCCCCTCCCCTCGCCGCTGAAACAATTCGGAATTGATTTTTACGGAGGCAGAAGCCGCTCAGCTGCAGCCACATTGGGCTACACGAGAGTTCAGACTCTGTCTAATTAACTAACCGTATCAGCATCTGCATAATACGCGACTGTGGCTGTTCTTGTTGCGTCTGCAGTGAGAAAGGGGTGGGAAAAGCGAACACCGACAGGGGTGGCACGTTATCCCGGATGTTATTCCTCCCCCGGCCCCTCCAAACGCTGGAGAAGTCAGGGGTATTAACGACGGCAACAGTGATTTATTAATCTGCACCTGTACATCGACTTCCGGCCGAACAAGGCCTAATTGTCCATGTGGATTGTACAGATTCCCGACTGTCCCTGTTAATCACGAGGAAATCTCGTTCTTCTGGTTGTGTTTAGTGTTACTCAAATGAGGTGGCAAAAAATTAATTTCGAGAGAAATTTTAGGTTGACTACACCATCTGATGACCTTGAGCACTTTTCTATATTTTTTCTATGTTGAGAAAGTGATTGAAAAAAGTAGTAAATTTTTGATATGTCCGCCATCACACTCAAGCCTTTGGAAAAATTGGAATTTTGAGGAAATTAATTCTGTTTGAGGGGAGAATAATTTAGAAAATTTGTTTTTTAATGGAAACATGAATATGAGATATCAAGCGAGGCTGAATTTTTGGTTAATTAAACATTTAATAATATATTTTTTACCTAAATTTTTCTGATCTTAACTGATTTTCATGGAATTTTCAATTTTCAATGACGAAATTCCGTAATGAGATCAAATTGGGAGCCAATTGGCGCTTGATATGACGATTTATTTCGAAGATATTGAGCGTCATTTTTTCAAAATTTAATTTTCAAGTATTTTTTTTAATTAAAAAAACGAATGAAAAAAAAAGTAGTAAATTATTAATATCTCAGCCATCATCTTCACCCTTCCCCCAATTTCCACAAAAAAAACTCTACTCACCATTCGATATAATATCATTATTCTCCCGCATCCAGTAATTAATTGACTAATTAATTCTGTTTGAGGGGAGAATAATTTAGAAAATTTGTTTTTTAATGGAAACATGAATATGAGATATCAAGCGAGGCTGAATTTTTGGTTAATTAAACATTTAATAATATATTTTTTACCTAAATTTTTCTGATCTTAACTGATTTTCATGGAATTTTCAATTTTCAATGACGAAATTCCGTAATGAGATCAAATTGGGAGCCAATTGGCGCTTGATATGACGATTCATTTCGAAGATATTGAGCGTCATTTTTTCAAAATTCAATTGTCAAGTATTTTTTTAAATTAAAAAAACGAATGAAAAAAAAAGTAGTAAATTATTAATATCTCAGCCATCATCTTCACCCTTCCCCCAATTTCCACAAAAAAAACTCTACTCACCATTCGATATAATATCATTATTCTCCCGCATCCAGTAATTAATTGACTAATTAATTCTGTTTGAGGGGAGAATAATTTAGAAAATTTGTTTTTTAATGGAAACATGAATATGAGATATCAAGCGAGGCTGAATTTTTGGTTAATTAAACATTTAATAATATATTTTTTACCTAAATTTTTCTGATCTTAACTGATTTTCATGGAATTTTCAATTTTCAATGACGAAATTCCGTAATGAGATCAAATTGGGAGCCAATTGGCGCTTGATATGACGATTCATTTCGAAGATATTGAGCGTCATTTTTTCAAAATTCAATTGTCAAGTATTTTTTTAAATTAAAAAAACGAATGAAAAAAAAAGTAGTAAATTATTAATATCTCAGCCATCATCTTCACCCTTCCCCCAATTTCCACAAAAAAAACTCTACTCACCATTCGATATAATATCATTATTCTCCCGCATCCAGTAATTAATTGACTTCGGAAACGCCTCAAAGCGACACTCTAGAGTGGTTTGTGAGCCTTCCTCCGCCCCCACCAATTGATTCTGAATCATGATCTCGGGTTGAACTGCAACAAAATAAAAAAAGTAGTTCATTAAATCGGAAAAATCGACGTGATATCAATTTTTTATTGTGAATTCAAGGTGTCGTGAGTCCTGGACTAGCTCTCGCTTATCGGAAGCCCTGGGGAGACGACGAGAGATTGAAAAAGGGGGAAGGGGTAGAGGGAAGAGGGATAAAAAGCATTGACGTTTGGCAAAGGACAAGAAATCGATCTATAAATAAAAATAGTGGAGTGAGCCCCCAGTTATCCTCGGAGCGTCCCAGCAGGGTCGTTACACGTTTTCTTGGCAGTAGTACGGTCAACGAAGCATCCGACGATGGCCAATCACATCTTTTTTTACGCCTCCATTCCCCGCTTTTTTCTCGTCTTTATACCCCGGGCTTTTTCCCCCGGTGATTCTGCGAATTTTGCTGAGACGAGCGGTCATTTTGACAATTAAAGACATTAAGGGGATATACTCACAGTGAACGATGAGCATTATTCTTTTGCTGACTGTTGGGGGCACGCCGTTGGAGGCTATGCAGAGGTAAGCACCCATGTGGAGACGATTCACCCTTGTGATGTTTAGAAATGGTCCGTTCACACTCGAAACTGAAATTCATTCGGAATTTTGGGTAATTCGTGGGGCGGAAATCATACGGTTGATATTTTTTTATTAAATTCAAGCTTATAATTCCCAATTTCAGGGGAAAATCAGGGGAAATTGTGAATTTCAATTGAATTATTCAGTGAAAATTTATAGAAATCAAGAAAATTCAGTCGAATATACACTTGAATTTTCAATTTATTGGATTGGTTGAGTCAATTAATTGATAACTTTCTGTCAATATTTTTCCACTAAAATTTTTGTAATTTTCACTTCATCAAGACAATCAAAAAAATAAATTCACTCATCACGACTGCTTTCAGCCAATTCTAGTAATTCTACTACCGCATGCGTTAAAATTAAAAATTAATTTATTTTCGTCCCTCAATATCCAAGGATTACCTCGCCAACCCCGAGAGAATTCATTCCCCAAATCCCTTCAGTTCCGTTCACACTCAGAACTGAAATTAATTTGGAATTATTATTAATTCCTACATGAAGCGGAAGTAATGGAGTTGAAAAAGGAATTATTTAGATTTTAAGAGACTTTATCACTCGAAATTCTCAATTTAATGGAAAAACCATTGTAAATTGTAAATTTTAATTGAATTATTCTGTGAAAATTGATAGAAATTCAGGTAAATATATTTTTGAATTCTCAATTAATTGACAATTTGTTCCAACATTTTTCCACCAAAAATTCCGAAATTTTCACTTCATCAAAATAATCAAAAACAAATTTACTCATGACCACTGTTTTCAGCCAAATCCATAATTCCCAATCCCGAATGCGTTTGAACTCAAAATTAATTTCTTTGCATCCCCCGAAGCCGAAGGCTTATCTCTCCACCCAAAAAACCCCCAAATCCCCCAAATCCCTTGGCAATAATGCTCGAAATATCCGCACTCGAGCGCTGATTAATTTGTTGAAACACAAAATAATTAAACACCCTGTGCATCATCCAGCGAACTTCAATGAAGCTTCTTGCTCGTTGCGTAACGCCTCCCACTTTCATTATCTCCTCCCTGAGAGGCAAAAACTATTTAATCCATTCATTTCCTCCCCCACGGCCACTGATAAACACAAAGCAATAATATCGCACAATCACGGCTCCGATCATAACTATAAATCAGGGGGTGAAATTTCGCACGGCCACTGGGAATTGAACGGCGCGCAACAAAAAGGGGATAAAAAATTGTTGGGATGAGCATTAATCACCTACGGACTGTTTGATAATACGATAACGGAGATATCCAGTGATCAATTGATAAGGACGACAGGAATGAGGGGAAAGGTGAGAGAAAGGGGGATTTGGGTCGAAGGGTTTTCGGGGTTTATTGTTGCGTGAGAGGCTAATTATTACGATGAATCATAGATGCAGTGGGAGTATTCGCAGCGAGTTATCGCAAGACCCGAGGGTGGGAAGGTAAATAATTGAACTGGAGGGGTGATATCGGGGGCGAAGAGTGGAGGGAGAGCTCTTGGTGTTAGGAGCGTGGCGTTTTTCAACTTGATTTTGCAATTTTTTTAAGAAAATTCAATTATTCTTTTTTTTTTTAATTTGTGCTCCATTTGACGTAAATTTCGGTGCCTTTCGTGATTCAGGAACATTATGGATGATGACTAATTCAATTAAAGGTCATGAATGAAGAAATATTAATCATCAGGCATTTTCGCAATTCCAAAATTGATGATTACGATGAAAAAAATCATTAAAAAATGCAAAAATCACTGAAGAAAAATGAAAAAAATTATTTCAGTGGATATTTCATCAATTAAATTTGTTAATTAACTTTAGGATCATTATTGATAATGGTTAATTCAATTGAAGATCATGAATGAAGAAATATTCATCATCAGACATTTTAGCAATTTCGAAATTGATGATTACGAAGATAAAAATCATTAAAAAATGCAAAAATGACTCAAAAAAATGAAGAACAGTCTCATTTTTCATAAATTAAATTTGTTCATTAATTTTGGGATTATTATTGATTATGAAAAGGGCTTGGGGCGCCTCTCGAAGATGAATCTTCCACGTCAATCGGCCCAATCCATTACTATTAAAATTTTCAGGAGATATCAACTCAATTGGCAATGTATCACGCTACCGTAAGCATCATTAAAGCCCCTCGGGGAGTCCCTTTTGTTTAACGAGTAGCTCGGTATACCAATTACCCCGGTTGGTTCAATGACTCGAGTGTTCCAAGCAACAAGTCCTACAGGTGTATTGTGTTTACCCCGAGTCTGGAGTATCTGATAGGCCTCAGGAGTTGAGAAACTGCTGGATAAGAGGGCACGGACTCGAGAACCTTTCACCATGCCCCAGATACATTACTGAATGCATCTTCTGGGGAAAATATTAATTAATGCAATTGTTTTTGCATTCTTTTTATTTTATTCGATTCAACGATTCAAAGAATTGATTTATTCCATTCAAATGGAGTTTATTTCATTCAAATAAGACATTCTTTATGCGTAGATGAGATTATTTCGCATTATTTTATTTTATTGGTTCGCCTTTAGAAATTTCATAATTTTATTTTTAAATCTCAAAATCTAGGAAATAAAATATTTAAAAAAAAAATCAATATCAAATCAATATTTAAAAATATGTTGTAGTTGTCAAAATAATCAGTCAATCAATTAAATTAACTTTGTGTAAAATTTCATAACTTAAGATAAATGAATCTATTTAAGCGACTTTGATTCAACCATTCAAGTAATTGGTTTATTCCATTTAAATAAGCCATTTTTGTAAAAGTAAATGTGATCATTTCGTATTATTGTAATTTATTCATTCGCCTTTTTAAATTTCATGACTTTATTTTTGAATACTCATTAAATTTTCTATCAACAATATCGTTACAGCTGCTCAGATGACTAATCAGCGTCCTCTCCAATTCCCCCAATCCCCCACCGCACGATGAACATTGAAAATCCCCCCAATTTGAGCCACTAGTTTGATTGTTACAATGCTGGCGGTTTCCGTTGAGGTAACAATTCCCCCCACAATCCACTCTGAAACTTGTTTCAACAACAACCCCAGCTAAATTGTTTTGTTTTCATCCGGTCTGATGTGAGTGTATTCATTATAAGTGAATGCACGTATAATTCACGAAGAAAAACACGATACTGTTGGATATTAATTCATGGTTTACCTTCCTCATCAGTAGCAAGTGCTATCTTTTCGCCGGATTCACGTTTCCAAATGATATTGGGCGCTGGGGATCCAGTTGCTTCACAACGCAGGCTTACGTTGCTACCCTCTCTCACAACCATATCAGTGCTGGTTGGATAATCGAGAATGTCAGGGGGCACTGAAATATTGTAATTAGTTTGTAAACATTTTCATTGCATTCTGAAGGTAAATTTTTAATTATTCAAAGCAAGTTTATGGGAAATTATTTCTGAGAGTTAATTGGAATTTTGGAGTTGAATGGTGAAAGGGATTGGGTTATTGCATAAATTATTGTGGGGAATACCTCGAAAACTAGTGGATAATATTTTATTTTTATTAAAAAAATTCCGAAAATGAAATAAGGAAACAAAGAGCGTAAAATTGAATGTGAATATATAATTTAACATAATTTAATGTGAATTAATTAAGTTGTCAGAATAATCACTCAATCAATTAAATCTCTCGATCAATGGATTACTGATTCAATTAGCAATTAAATTTACCGATATTGTAATTAGTTAATAAACATTTTCATTGCTTTCAATATTAAAAATAAATAAAAGAGGATAAATTTTCATAATTTAATATAAAAGAATCAACTCCAGAGAATGATAAATCAATTTAAAAACCTCAGAAGAACGCATAATTAATTCAATTATAATTTACCAACGACTTTTAGATGCCCAACTTGACTCAACATTGGATCAGTATTAATTTGACACATGTAATCCCCTTGATCGCTCTCCTTGACGTCCTTTATATGCAAGTACCAAGCCCTATGATCACTGTGTGTCACTGCTATTCTGTGATTCTTTGTAATTACGTGAATGGCTATTGTCAGGATTGTCTGAGTGTTGACTTGCAGCCACGCGACCTAGAAAGATGGAGAGCTGAGTGAAATTATTCTGAATGCCATCAACTTCTGGGGAATGAGAGACTACATTGGAATGATGGTAATTAACTGGAATCTGTCAACTACAAAACTTTTTGAATAATTAAAATTTGTCAGGCAGATGTATTTCCAGTGGTTTTCATCACCATAAAGCAATTTCGGAGGCGAAATTCATGAATAAATTATTTCAAAGATAATTTTGACTCTTGTCGTGCAGTTGTTGAATGAAAAATATTGTTGCATAGTTGTTGTATACGACTACTGTGCATTACCGCAACTATAGTGATGCGTATAGTTGTCACGATGATACTGTTGTAGTCGCATGTGGCAGCTATTGCCATAAAAATTGATTTTCGAATATTCATTTTATGCGTTGGCATCGAAAAATTTACGCATTTGCATGCGGCGTGAGAGGCCAACGTCAATATGAAATAAAAGGAGTGAGGAAAAATAAAAATTCAGCGGCCAAAAAACAGGTGCAAGATAAAAAAGTGAATAGAACAAAAAGGCGCGAAAATAAATAGAAAAAAAAAACAGAAATATTCAAGGCACCAATTATTGGAGCATTGTTAGCGAGAGAGGCCGCAAGCACTTGGTCGGCAATTTCGCTTGTGCAAGGGCCTGAAGGACTGCTGTATACACAATGCCAGTGGAGATGTTGGTGGTGCGAGAGATGCAGATTGAGAGGTGCTTTCATCGATGAATAACTTTGAGCCACCGAGGATTTTAGTTGTGACATTGTGCTTCAGGGCAACTTGCCATTTCCTCGAGATTGCACAGATAATTGGTTGGAATGAGAGTGATAGACAGACAAAGGTAATGGTGAATGAGAATTTTTGTCGCCGGGAGGTATTCTGTCGTGCCATTGTTTTTATGGAAATTTTTTAAAAGAATTTTCTTTAATGAGAGGAGAATTGTGGTGAGATTTTATTTCCAATGATGAAGTCAATTCCTAGTTTTTTGTGTTGTTGTATAATTGTTGACAACAACTAGTCGACAACTATAATAGTTTTGCCAACAATTTGAAATAGTTGTTCACGACTCCTGTGATGACAACCACGTAGGAACAGTTATGATAATTGTCCGCAATAATTATCATAGTTGTCAACAACAACTATTTCAATGAATTTGAATCCACCGAATTTTAGGAACGACAACTATAGTTGTGCAACTACACGCATACGACAACTATTTATATTGTAATTACTTTAGATAACTATAATAGTTGTAGACAACTATTCTCATAATTACTATAGTATGATAGTGATAATTGTAGACAAATATTTCAGTTATGACAGACGATAATTCCAAAAAGATCAAGCGACCTGATTTCAAGCTAAATAATAGTTGTCAACAACAACTATTTCAATGAATTTGAATCCACCGAATTTTAGGAACGACAACTATAGTTGGGCAACTATACGCATAGACAACTATTTATATTATAATTACTTTAGATAACTATAATAGTTGTGGACAACTATTCTCATAGTTACTATAGTACGATAGTGGTAATTGTAGACAACTATTTCAGTTATGACAGACGATAATTCGAAAAAGATCAAGCGACCTGATTTCAAGCTAAATAATGATTTAAAAAAGTCTTTAAAAACTTTAACTCAATCGCAACTTTTATCTCCACTTGAGCCCACGATGAAACGTGCCCCATGAATCAGTCGAGATCTTACGCCTGAATTCATAGTTTCAACAACTCAAATCTCACCCTCTCTCAGTGTAAATCGCTCGGAATATACATCACATCCAGTGATTGAACGTGAATCATTCCGTGTCTCCTTCTGCCACTGCTCAAGAACCCTCTTCACTGTATACACGAAGCTTCGCAAGCATCCACCGAGTGAGCGACTGTGCAAACTTAACTTGTAATTCGAAGAGCAAAAGCGTCGCCTCCCGAGGATTCCAGAAATTGGGTGCAACCGGAGGAGAATGCTGGAGACTCAAAGATTGAAGATGCAATGAGAGTTGCTGAGATGAAGGGAAAATGTTAGTTTGCTCGTCATCGACTTTCGTCCTTTGAAGTTGGCGACAAGGGGAGAGAGCAATAATGGACTTGAGTCAACGACGCGTTGTGAGGAAATTTCGAGGAGGATAACCTGTTGTTCTTGGGGAAAACTCCAGCTCAATATCGAGAGGTTGATGGTCTGATAAAAATAAAAATCTCTGAGGGAAATTCGTCAGAGAAAATCCACGAGGGAATCTTGAATTTCAATTTGTAGATTCAATTAGCGAAATGTCGGGGGAATTCACCGGAAAGATTCATGAATTAATAAACCTGAAATGCATGTCATTGATTGGCATGCGAGGCCGATCGGAAATGACCCCGCGGAATAATTCAAAAATTCCATCAATCGACGGATCTTACAGCCGGCGTCAATCATGCGGGGCTTTCTCCCCTGTCATATTGCCGAGACCGTTCCACACCCTGCGATATGCCGCTGGAGGTTATTCCTAGCGCCAATCGTGACCCAGATGATGCTTCCGCTCAGCGTGACGGTGGCCTGAGGCACGTCCAACCAAACGAACCCCTCAATCCACCCCGCATCGCGCACCCAACGAGTTCCGGGGTTATTATATATAGCGTAGGTCCAATACAGGGTGACTGTGCATCAACATTGAAGGATCGATACGAAAAAAAGTTGAACGTATCGGCTTTTTCAAATTTTTTATAAATTTATCGTTATTTTAGAAGATGCGGAATCGTGTGGCGAGTGAAATTAATTGTTTTTGCTCCCGAATGGAAGATTTGCAGTGAGAAGATAAGTTTTTTGAGAAGCACGTCTTTACTTGTATTAAGAAATTCATGGTTATTCATGGAAATTCATTCGCATTAAAATATGTTGGAATTGAGGCTAAAAAACTAATAAATGAATTGATTATGTTCTAGTTTAAATTGTTTTATTTAAATTTTTTAATTGTCCTCGTCCTCAGGACAAGTACAAAATTTCTTGACGAAAGTTTTTTTTTCTTAGTGCAAAATACTTTGCTCGTGAAAATTTTCAAGCCACGTGTTTTTTTATATAAGTAAAGACATACCCCTCAATAAACTTTGGATTTCTCTGTGTGTAATTGCTTGAATTAAATTTAATTAATTGATAAGGTTTGGATTTGTTGTGTTATATTAGGCGATTATAATTCAAAAAGCCGAAAAATGCAATTTTTAGTATTGTTGAGCCCTAGCCATCGACATTAATTAAAACTTAATTTATGCATTAAATTTTAGCATTTCCGATTTGTTCCAAAAATCGTTTGTCCCAAGATAATTCACAAAAATGTTTTGATTTCATTGAACAATGCCTTAAAAAATGCAACTTATTATTCATTAAATGAATGAGCAAAATTAATTGAATTAATCACGAATTATTTGCAAAAATTACTGTTTCACTTCATTTTGTTTTTTTATAAACTATCTCTCTGAAAGCCAGTCATTTCCGCGTGAAATTAATATTCCGAAATAATGGCAGGGATTTAATTATCTAATTTCTGTCACCACGTGGCCTCAAAAGGAGAAAAAACACAAAGAATGTGGAGTTTTGACACTCAAAACAACATTGGTGACGAGGAATCAACCCCCCGGGTGAAATTTCAAACCTCTCCCTCCCCATGCACTCCGATTAGTCCGTAAAATTCTATTTTTGTTGTCATTCAATTGGATGCGAGTGGGTATTATCGCGGGGGTCAATACACGCCATCGAGCGGATTAAAACCAGCCTCGAGGACACATTTCCGTGACAGCGGTTCAAGCTCGTTTTTCGTTATATAGCCTCCTCGGGTAGTTATTCCACTCGGTGGGGACCTCTCCGACCCCTGTATTGTACCGCTCGCTGCATTATTGATTGGATCGTTCAATAATAATTGACATCCACGCGTAATATCTGATGGGTGGCATTAAGTATCATTAGAATTATGGGATTTGTCAACCGAATTCGATGAATTGAAAGATGAGGAAAATTGAGTTAATCTTAAAAATCATCAAATTCATTGATAAATAACATGACGGGAAAAATGAATGAGCTTCATTGGGCGGTTATTTTTGCATCCGCGTAGTCTCGATATCTCTGTCGTTAGAGGAGTTCAGGAGTGGAAAAGGGAACCAGGGCTAACACGATCTCGGATGTTGTGCCACGGGGGATGTTCTCGCAGTGAAACACGGGAAACGAAGACTTATGCAACAGCGCACGGAGAACTTTGAAATTAAGCGCTAACTTTCTCTCTCAGAATTCTTTTCCTCCCTTTTTTCACCTGCCCTGTTCAGTTTTTTTGCGGATTCTTCCACCCCGCGGCTGCCTAAGTGAGATGTGGTCTTTCATTTCGAGATTGTAGTTGATGAACTCTGATTAGAGATAATATTGATAACGTTGAAGTTTAATTTTTTAATCACGAGGAGTTTTTTAATTTAATTGAGATGGGGATGAAACGCATTGCATCAAAGAATTGTGAGAATTTCTCTGGTAAAGTCGAGACAATGAGGACTTTTACACACGGCGAGGAAAGTTGAGTAAAGAGTACTAGAAAATCGTGGCAAATTTTACTGTACGAAAGGCAATTATTGGGAAGCTAAATTGTTCAATGAAAAATAAAAAATGTCTTTTGCGGAGAATATCTATCGCAATAATTTATAATTTGTTGTTAAATTTGATCCATCGAAAAAATTGACGAACATTTATCGAAAATTTAAGAAATAATTGTCGAATGAAATTGAAAAATTTTTCAACAATTTTAATTAATTAATTGGTAAAGTTCATGAAAATAATTTTCTCGTGAAAAAGACCCAGAACTGTATTCCGCTCTCCGATTATACGACTCGTTGGGTAATTTTTCTCCAGCATTTTTTCCGTGCACCCCGTCACCTCCCCAGGGGCTGAGAAGCCCTGCAAAAATCAGGAGAACCGAAAAAAAAAATTCTATCCTCATCTTACAATTTTCACTTTTCCCCTGAAAAATAAAAAACCATCGCGAGCAATCGTCGGGAATTACCGTTGGAAAAAGCAATTACACCCCTTTCTCTTTTTTCCCTCCATCATCCGGCGGTTGCAAAATTAATTCCCTCTACACCCTCATGCACACAAATGTAGAGTACTGGAATCGAGCATTAATTGGAATCGAAAAAAAGGAAAAAGTGGGGAGAAATGTTTTGTGTGAAATCGATTATCCCTGGGTGTAGCCACCAGAAATTGAGCCTTTACATCCTCAAGCGTCAATCGGAAAACATTTGTGTTAATGTCGACGTTATGTGAGTGCACAATGGGCGGATTGTAGCTGCGAAACTCCCCAAGGACCGTTATCTTCCACTCTCAGCGCATCTGCTCGACTACCGAGTAATATGAGCCACGTATGTAAATCCCGTTCTGATTAACATCCGCATAGCGTTGCAGCTGAAATTCTGTATTTCAGCATATCCACGCTATCGATATCAATGTCGGCGTGGATATCGGAGCTCGCACTGCTTTGACGGCTTGCTTAGTGTGGGGAGTAATATATTACGGATATAGATTGCTTGCCTTAATAGACAGCTCCATGTATTGTTTCGGATATTGGTTATTAGGGGATATTGAGGTGGAATTTTTCATGATCATTGATGATGTGTGAGCGGAATAATCAACTTTGAAGCTACCGTAGATGGACGAGCTACTTTTGGATAGGAAATTACTAAAAAAAATGCTAAAATGTGAACTGTTGCTTTAAATTTTCGAATAATCCATTCCCCCGAATAAAAATGAAACTTTTTCACTTAAGCCACTTCCCCCATAAAACTAACGGCAATGTTTTGATTGATAAATTCAATATTCCAAGCGTAAATGGAACTCATTCTGCCTTCTGCGAAGAATTTTGAAAGCGCCGATTTGTTTGAATTTAATGTCCCAGCGATTTCAGATCACCAAAGAGCTGGATAAATATTTGTGGAAAAGTTGCGTCTGCTAACGGCGCGGCTTTCCTCCTCCGACTTTGTGGTTTACTTCCTTAGAAAGTGCATATAGTACCCAGAAGTAACTGGTTTTCGGATGGCGGAGAGCGAAATGACAACGGTGAGAAAAGGGCGGAAAGGGAGAATGAGTATCTTCCCCCTGCAGCATCCTTTCACACCGGAGCCACTGGGAAAACAAAGTTTAGCGTAGCTTTATCGTGGAAATAACGCCTGACGAACGAGTGAAGGGGGAAAAAATGTCAGGTACTTGATGTGTTTTCGTTCAAGTTTGTGGGTTATGCTGATGTTGCGTTCATAACGCTATTTTCAAGATTTGGGAGATTGAGAAGTGTTTTGATGGAAAACACTATGAATTTTTATCCGAAACAATTTATCGATAGGCAACTCTGCAGTATCACAACCTAAAGTCACAGCAAAAATATCCAAAGATATCAATTAACAGAAATTAAGACATCTGCCATCACTTTGACATTCCGAATCCTTAAAATTTAACGAAGCAAGTCTTCAATTCGTCGAAGCTGATCATTTTCCTCTACAAGTTCATTGATAACCTTCAAATATTCCACCTCAATAGCCCCCTAATAATCAATATCTAAAACAATGGAAGGATTTGGGCCTCAACAAGTCCTAGAAATAGCAAACGAACATTATCAAGATCTCTAGACTCCACCAGAATAATCTCCTAATCTTCAAAGTTGATCATTCTCCTCTCCAACTTCATCAAGCAGGTCTTCAAATCTTCAAAGCTGATCATTTTCCTCTACAAGTTCATCAATAACCCCAAACATTCCACCTCAACATCCCCTAATAACCAATATCTAAAATAATGTAAGAATCTGGGCCTCAACAAGTCCTAGAAATAGCAAACGAACATCATCAAGACCTCTAGACTCCACCAGAACAATCTCCTAATCTTCAAAGTTGATCATTCTCCTCTCCAACTTCATCAATAACCCCAAACATTCCCCCTCAACACCCCCTAATAACCACCATCTAAAACAATTTACCGATGATCAACTCTCCAGTATCACAACCCAAAACCGCCCCGAAAATGTCCAACATTTTGATTGTCTAAGAAGGCCACCAACACCATGACGCCTTGCTACGCGACAGTTTAAGCTTAAACTGGTGTGCTTAACCCAAGCTCTACGACATCCCTCGCCCCTTAGTTTCGCGGAATACAGGGCACTTGCGTTAAACCCCTCTGACGACAATCACCAGCTGATCGCCCCGACGAACGCTGAAGCTCTCCCCAAGCCCCCGTAACATCTGATATGAAAGTAGAGGGACTACGAAAAGCTGCATCCTAAGTGCCGCGTTCTCGGATTCTCTCCTCTCCTGCACTGGATTATATACCCCCAGTGAAATTTCTGGAGATTCCTACGGGTCATCCTATACGCTAACATATTTTAATTCAGCAGTGCTATATTTACAGCAACTCGGGTTCCTTTTTTTCAATTACGTTTCCCTTAAGGGTATCTTCTGCCGTGTTTATGGTCACAATCTTCTGTTTTTAAAGGCGAGCATGGCACACTATTAGGAACATAAAATTTATCGCTGAGAATACCATCCCGCGAACATATCGCGTTGCCTGATGCTGTGAAAAAGACAACTTGACGATAAAAACAGGGATTTTAATTAAGAGCATTATGTAAATTCAAAGATGGCTAGATGAGATTTTTTGAACCTTTCAAGTATTGATTGTCGCGGTGAGCGCGTCTGTTTCACTGAAAAGCCAGAGTTTTCGATGAAGAGCACGTTCACACTCTCCATTTTGCTTCAATACAATTGAAACCATTGAAAGCCAAGTTTTTTATTTCATATTCTCGTGGTATTGGGTAACCCACTGTGACCGCGATGCCAGCGGTAGGTCAATATTCATCATTTGAACCAGCTCTACCCCAGCATTTTTACATAACAGGTTCTGTTTTTGATGCCATCAATGCGGCATTATTCTCCGTGCTGATACTGTATCGAAGGAGTCCTGATGTTCTCGATACCAGAACAAAGTATTTTCCGGAAAGTAGTTTCATTCTTTAAAGAGATATAAAAACACTCCCTTTGACTGCTGAATCTATAATTCAAAAGAAACCGAGTCCATTGTAAACGTTTTATGGGAGATGCAGAGAGCACAGAGGTCTCGCGAAAGGTTGCCGAGATAACAAGGCAACATACATAATAAAAAGCGCTGAAAGAAGAAGCTCAGGAACAAAAACATTCCGCGTTGGGAGAGGAGTAGGTCAGCAAATTAAAAATATACCGCAGTATTCATTCTCCTGATGAACACTACCATTACTAGTGATTACCGTCTTTCCAAAACTTCGTTAATGACTTTATGGAAGACTGAATGACCCAGCACTCAATGGCTTTCAAGGTAAGACTGAGTCCAGTTGTATTACGAACTTGATGTGAAATGTTTCACAGAGTACTCCAAAGGTAAAATGGGTAGATATGATAGTTTGATGTTACCTTGTAGTTTGAGAGGTGCTCCACTACACATTCAAGCACAGCGTCTCTTCCCACCGGGGCCGTTACGTTAGATATTGCACGAACGAATGTTGGTCCTTCTGAAACAGTCAAAGGCATTTGACATTTGATATATTTACTCTGAGTTTTTGGGACGCCGGAGGATCTGTATTATATTTTCGGATGTTTGCGCGATCGTGCATCAGGTCTAATGATCAAGGAACATGCTTTATGAAACATGAATGATGTTTTGATGTACTGATTGTAAAAACTAGTGTCTTCAAGACATCTTAACATCGCGATGACGGGAATTTGGAAGGTCTTGATATAAAACGCTTGATAGACAAAACATTCTCATGTCTTGAAAATAGAAGTCACCAGATTCAAGCAGAAAATTTTGGTCATCATCAGTGGGAGGATTTTAGGTGGACTCAGTGGGTTTCATTAAATCATTATTCGAATTGATTAATCCAAAATCACTTCAAGTGTATCGTCCACTTGGCAGTGCTGCAAAGGCACAGGTAATCGAAGCGGAGTCAATAATCCATGATCCGCTCAGGAAACTCCTTCCCTCGGCCAACATGTAGTTGGGATCAGAGCTTATCTGTGGTGCACACCCCCGAGAGACATACCTTTCTTCCATCCCCTCTCCCCACCTTGAGAATCTTCATTCCCCTACACCAATGTCCTGCTTAACGTGCGCACTATCATATGTATGTACGATAGGAGAGTCTTGCAGAGCGCTCTCAGAGTGGTTTTATGTTCTTCGATTTTTTTCCGGCTCCCATTTCTTTTATTTTTATTGTACCGGGGGAGAAGAGGTTCTTCGGGCTTCGGGTTTATCGAACTGACAGGCGATTTGCTTCGGCGTGGTGTATACGCGAGTACCGCCTCCCCGAACACTGCAACTTCTGCCTTGATCAAACATTAGGACAGTCAGCCTTTTATCAGGGAGCTACATCTGTTTATGGGTTTTTTTACATTCAGTGCGTGATTCGGGATGTGAAGGATTCAGGGGGCGGGTTCAATGGTTCAGAGTTGAGGTGGAAGTGGGGTTGGTGTGCTGGGGATTAAAAAAAGCCGTGGGGAGGATCTTTTGAATAAGAAATCGGGAATTTATCGGGGGTAATCGGCGTTGAAGCATTCCAGATTCCAGTCAGCAAGGTTTGTGGAGGCTTACGTTAGGAGTCTTTTGCAGATGTGACCGACTTCCTTTGTTTGGATGGCTGTCTACAAGCTTCTTGAAGAATTAGAGAGGAAGAGGTCCTGAACTATATCGACAGCTCAATAATGAACAAGTGTAAGTGGTATGGGTCGTCCACGCTGATGTACTTGTCTGATATTGAAGAATCGATGTCTTTTCTCCTATTGTCAACGAGTATCGGAAGACCATCGATTATTCACAATTTTCAAAGTAATTTCCTATGAACAATTATTGATATTTTCCAAAACCAAAGCAAATACATCTTCGCCGTCATCTCCCCGAAGTCAATGTGCTTTGGTTTGAAAAAATGTTGATAACTCTCCCTAGGAAAACTGTTTGAAAATTTCACTTCGTAAATTTTCTCCAAATTTGAATCTCAATTAGTGTCAAAATTTATCAGCGATGCTTGTTGCAACATGATAATCATTGGAGAGCCTTGTTGGGCGTGGGCTAGAAGCGATGAACTCGAGCGATCCTTCCTCGCTTGTCCCATCATCGATCTCGGGGGGGTATCGTACCGTAGTAACGTCACGCTGAATTATCGAGTCACGGGATCCAAGTGCATATGTACATGAGTGCTCCCTCAAATGCCATGGAATATCCGATATCAACTCTGGCATCGCTTTCCGGTGCAGCGGGACTGTATTTTGAAATCCCGGATTTGCGGGCTTCATCTAAATTGATTACAGATGAACAGCAAGACTTCTCCACAGAACTTGGCAGTCTCCGATGGAGCATAACACTTTCAGAATTCAAGTGGACTCTTGACCGATATTATTTATTCCTCTCCAACTCAAACATCGAAATGAATCCACGATTAGTACCACCGAAAAGTCCCTCTCACTCAGCTTTCCAGAACTTTCTTGGGGTATCGACTTGGCCAAAAATAACTGACTCATAACTTCTACCATCTGGATCGGCCATTATTAACGATTTGCCACTGATTACTCATCCTGTCATCTCTCTCCATCATACTTTCAACTAACTCCACCGACATTCGGGTCACGTCAGATTCGTAAAAAAGTATTGAAGAAAGCATAAAACTTCAATCTGAAGTTGGCTCGAAACTTTCGGTTCCTCGAACTTTTTCAATTATTGGAATTTTGGAAAATAATCTGGAGTTAAATGCGACGAATATTGGAATCGATTAGGGAGAAGATGGTTCGAGCACTCTGAGGTGAAGCGTTAATATCCAATCCGTCTATTTAAATTAACAAAACAGAGATAATATCTCTGTCAAAGATTTTTAAAAGTAAAACACAGAATGTAATTAAAATCTGGGTCTTCCTCGTTCTCCATTGAAATCCGTGAATAATTAATCCCCCGGAAAATATGGAATTTTCCTCAGTGCAGCGTAATAAAGTGCAAACAGAGAGTGAAATGGATTTAAAAATGTAATCATAATCGCGGAATGAAAGGGCATAATTAAAGAGATGAAAAAAGTGTACAATATAACCATTATCCACCGAGCAAATAGCCATTTGTACACTGAATAAATCTGCATTTGTTGGCTGGCAACGGATGTACTTAAAACAATTAATACATGTAATACAAAATTTATGTGATTTCATATGGAATAATAATACTCAATAAATCAATTACGGTATTACGGAATTATCGTCACGGGTGCACTCCAAGCTCTGCTCATTTCCATTTGAGTCAATAGGGCGAGCATTTGCAGATGGAGTCTCATAAATTTCAAATGGTCGAAGAACCATGTTTGCTCAAAAGCTTCTGTCCTATTTCCCTGGTAAATCGTGGAAACAGGGGGATGGATTTGCTGCGCGCAATCCGATTCTGCGTGATTTGGTAATCGTAATGTTTGGGCTGTTGAGGTTGTGTCAATTATTCTTACATCAGGATTATTTTTTTCAAACGGATTATTCACACGACGAAAAATTAGCAAAGAGGATTGTAAAAACTAGTGTCTTTGAGACTGTCACGACTAAAATTTTGAATGTCTCAAAATAAGACGTTTTTTCAATATACGAAATGACTTTATTTTGGGTCCACAAACGTCTTAAAAAAGGAGACGAAAGTGTCCAATTTCAGACACGACCGCACCGCTAGAAAATTACTCCAGAAATTTCAAGTAAAAAATCTTGAAATTTTTAACAACAATAATGTATTTTGTTATTGAAAAATTAGTTCAATTCTGGAGTATTCAATAGAATTGTAATTTTCAAGACCACATGACGATGATAATTATTAAATAATTTGAAAATTCAAGAACTGAATTAAACACTAAAAAGCGTATGAATTCAATGTAATTTGGCACTGAATATTCATATTAGATTGTAAATTCAAATAAATTAAGGAATTCTCGTCTTTATGCTGCTCAAACTTTTGGAATTTTACTAAATTTTCAGTGAAACCTGAAATTTCTTTTTTTTCTAACACTGTGAGGATTCCTTAATTCCTCAGCATTCTCTCCCAATTTAAACTCCACTCGACCATTTCCCCAAAGCAACGACAAACGATAGCAATTTTAAAGTGCTGGCACCGCGTAGCCCCTCATGAATATGATAATCGCGTGTCGAGTGCTTCCCATGACGATAGTATAGTTAACACTTGATTGCACGATTATTAATTCATGCGTCTCTCCCGGAGCCACAGCCAGTGCGATCATTGCTCAAATCGACCGGAAATCATTATGACAATAAGGCGTGGTATCCTTCGCTCTTTATTGTCATCTGAATGCAAATTTTGTGTCAATCTTGTACCTTTACCATTTCGACTACACAGCCAGAAATGTTTTGAAATTTCATGGAAGTAATTTTATTGAATCGGATTTAGGAAAAAAATCGTTATGAAAATTCAAGTTTTAAGTAGAATTCACGAAAATTCATGAGTTTTAAGTGGGAGTGAGATGGAAATTTCACAACTTGATTCAATTTTCAGTAGAACATGAATATTCAGAAAAAAACTACATGAATTTTCAATTTTTCCCTGAATTTTCATGATTTTTATAAATTTTCACAGAATAATTGACCTGAAAAATCAAGTATTTTATTGATTACCGGATCACTTTTGTATTGTAAGACTCCTCACGACGAATGCCGGTCCCGAGGCTCTCGTCACTCCACTCAAACCTCATATCTGATGATATATTAATCATCATCGCATGTTTGTCTTGACGGCGTGCTCGCACAAATTACCATCCCCTAAACATGCAAATCAGGCATTGTGATTAACGTCGGAATTCAACGGAGCCACGACGTTCACGTTGCTAAGCATCATCAGAAGCCATCGCTTTAATACGAAAACGAGCGAGACAGACTGCGTATCACGAGAGAATTTCATAGATAAACCTAGCCAATTCGACGGAAAATTCTATTAAAATTCTTTCTAGAGGAATTCCTGGACATGAACTTCATAAGTTTTCTCCATTTATTTTTCTTTCATGCTCATTAAGAATCAAACGAATAAACTGTGAAAATTTCAGCGGAGGAATTTCAATGGAAAATATTTATTTCAGTAGCGAAGTGGTCAAACGGTTCAAGTCGATTTTGGCTATTGCCCAATTTTCAATGAATATCTCGAAATCTATGGGAAATAGCAAAATTTTTCTTATAATATTTTTAGTAGCTCTCAATTCGCTCTACAAAAAAGGTTATTATGAAAAACTCGCTATCGCCCTTAAATTCGGAAATATTTGTGGAAAACTCAACTGAAGGCGCAATTGACTTGAACCGTTTGACCACTTCGCTACTGATTCAGTTATTTATATTTAATTTAGTTACATTTATTAAAATAAAACGAGTTGTATGGAAAATTCGGATCTATTGACTTTATTGTTCAGTTTTTCAGTGAACATTTCTATTTAGAAAATTCAATAGAAATCCAATAAAATTTTATGGCGAATTCGCAAGATTTTTTATGACATTTTTTTGTATC